GGTTTCCTGCAGGAGCTCCTTGGTCTTCTCAGACTCCTGGGTGCAGGCTGCAGACAGAGCCTGGAGGCCTTTGTTTCTGTACCCTGCCTACTCCCTTCCCCCCAAGGCTGTGTGCTTGGGACAGGGGAAAGGAAAGGAAGAGATGTGAGGGTTGGTGGGAGCAGGAAGCCCTGACCAGCACCTGGGAAACACTGACCTGCAGGCCAGGCCTCTACAGACCAACAGGCGCAGGTGATGCATTTAGGAGATCAGCGCCCACCCGTGGTTGAGTCTGTTCTGGTGCCAGGGTGACATGTTAGCCTGCTTTGTGTTTGGGGTCCCATTATGGGGAGGCTGGTTCATAGCTGGCCTGTGAGTCCTCTTTCCCAGCTTCACGGTTTCAGCCTTCCAGCCCATCTCTCTCCTCCTGTCTGCTACCTGTCCACTCCCTCCTGACCCATCTTGGTGCCTGACCTCCCCCGGGAAATTTGTTGAGCGCCATCCTCAGCCAGCGTGGCCCACCAGGAGATTTGGTGTGCGCCTACTGCCTGGGTTTGCCTTTGGGTTTGGCAAAGCATGGGCCTGGTCTTTTCCTGCCTTTCACACCAAGTCCAGCTCCCTGCAGCCCCATGTGGGTCTCCCTCCCCAAGGACTTCCATAGAGCTGGTGTTCAGCTCCTGTGTGCACACGGAAGCAGGGCCTCTTCAGTCTGACCCAGACGGGGGACATGGGTGACATTCACCAGCATGGGTCACAGCAGGCTGCCAGTCAGAGCTGGTTGTGGGATACAGCAGGTCACAGGTCACAGCAGGCTGCCAGTCAGTGCTGGTCTTGGGTCATAGCAGGTTGTGGGTCACAGCGGGTCACGGGTCATAGCAGACTGCCAGTCACTATCAATTTTGGGTCACAACAGGTTGTGCATCACAACAGGCTGTGGGTCACAACAGGTCATGGGTCACAGCAGGCTGTGGGTCACAGCAGGTCACAGGTCAGCAGCCTGTGGGTCACAGCAGACTGTGGGTCACAGGTTACAGGTCACAGCAGGTCACAAGTCACAGCAGGTCACAAGTCACAGCAGGTCACAGGTCACAGCATGCTGCGGGTCACAGCAGGCTGCAGTACAGCTTCGAGGGCACAGAGCAGGCGGCTGTGTGAGAGCCATGTCCGACTATCGTTTACTCTGTCTCATCATGAGCTGGATGTTCAAGTCTGTGGCCTCAGGGATTGGGGGAGGAGGACTCTGAATAAATGAACAAATGTGCAAAGCCGTCCGCCCTGTGGACATTCGGGGACAGGCAGTGGGAGTGGTGTGTGCCCCAGGCAGAGGCTGGCCTCAGTGTCGGGCAGGCTGACACTGGGGCTGGCCACAGAGGCGCTGTGGCCCTGGGGAAATCTGGAACTGTTCCATGTCAACAGACAGCCCTGGCACCCTCGAGAGGCATGGAGGTGGCTCTGTGTGGGGCCACCTTTGGCCACTGTGGAGCAGGCAGGACTGGCGGCAGGAGGGTGCTCCTGGTGTGGGTGCGGCCAGGGAGGACTGACTGGGTGCAGTGGACCTGGCAGAGGCAGTCAGCACCGGGATGGGTGCAGGCCAGACAGAGGGCCCTGAGGACTCAGAGGCTGAGTGAGGGGATGGCACCAAGGTCGGCTGCCAGCCCCTGTCCTCAGAGCTGAGGGAAGGACGGGGCCCTGTTGAGACGGCACGAGTAATCCTCAGCCCTCCTCTGAGAGAGAGAGAGCCATGCCCACCCCTGGGCCAAGCGAGCTTCCTGTGCACCCAGGCAGGGCACCAGTTAGCGGTGGGGGAAGTGGGAGGGCGTGTCTGTGCCCCAAGAAGCTCCGTCCATCAGAGATGCACAGGGCAGCAGCTGTCCAGGGCCTGGAGGTCACAGGAGATTAGGCCCTGCTGGGCCTCAGGGTGAGGTAGGAGGGTGACCAGGAGGTCGGAGAGGCTGGTGTGAAGGGCAGGGCAGGGACGAGGCTTGGGTGATGTGGCGCGACAGGCAGGAGCCTGGCTGGGAGAGCCCCGAGTGTCTGAGGGGCCATGGGACAGGCTGGTCCTCCTGAGGCCTACCTGCGAGGCAAGCAGACAGGCTTCACTGAGGGGCACGGGCTTGGAGGCTAAGCCGGGCTGGACTGGGACCTTGAGGCGAGGGGTCTGGGCTCTCACACCTCTGTGCCTCATTACCTCGCAGCCCCAGAAGGTGAGCAATCTCCCTCCCTTGGCCTGGAGCTGCCATCTCCCCTTCACCATTGCAGCATGAGGCCTGCCTTGCCCCTGAGCCTCTGTGGCTTATGCTGGGTGACCATGAGTTTGTTTCTGATGAGGCCTTGAGAGGAAATGTGTCTCCTCTCGCAGGTAACCACCTTCCCAGTGCTAGATGAAGACCCCTAGGCCATGGTCAGGCCCAGCAGAAGTGCAGAGACTAGCTAGAAGGATTTGTCAGACAGCTGTCCTGGGAGTGTGGCCACGTAGGCCTGCCTTGTCCCAGCCGTGTGACTCGGGCAAGGTGCTTGGCGTCTGTTGTGAAACGGCGACTGCAGCACCTGGCTCTCGGCACAGAGCAGGAGAGCCTGTGGACCCGCAGAGAGCCTGGCACACAGAAGGCACCTCATGATCCAGGGCTGCCGTCCTTGTCCATCTCCACGTTGTACTGACGCAGCCATGTACTCTCTTGTCCTGGCCAGCGTGGGAGAACTCTCAAATCTGCCCAGGAGTTCAGAGCATCCTGACCACCAGAGCAGAGGGGAAGCGAGGTCATTAGGAATTGCTAAGCCCACACTGGTGACCAGAAGGCAGTGTGTCAGGGCCTTGTCACAGGAGGGTCACAGCAGACACAAGCCCTCCCGCCCTGGAAACAGACTCGTGCCAGGCTCAGAACAGGGTGGGCGGCCCTTTGTCAGGGGTTTCCCACCTGAGATTCAGCAGGCCACAGACAACAGCTTTGCTCCTGCCATCAGCATGCAGGGACCTGTCCCGTCATGTTCCCCGACGACACAGAACAGCCACCGTTTACCCAGGCTGACCGCGTGCGTCCTGTAGTGGATCAGCGACGACAGAGCGCATGGGAGGTTGTGCCCAGCCATGTGCAAACCCTGTGCAAGGACCCAAGCGCCTGATGAATTTGTGTCCTTGGGTCCTGGAGCAGCTCCCGGATGCACAGGGAGGCTCTGTGTGCCCTCTGGGTGTCTCCTGCTCATAGACCAAGGGGACGGCCCCTTGCAGTCCAGCGTGTTGGGGTTCTGGTACCTGACGTACACCTGTGTCTTATGGGTGCCCTTGTCTGGGGGACCTCTATCTCCCGAGCATCCTGGGTTCCTGTGAGGGTTTCCATGGCAACAGAGCAACTACAACTCGTCTGTGGGTAATTACAGCCCTGGAGTTCACCAAGCAGCTTTGGAGATGGAAGAGGGGTGCAGAGGTCGCCCCCAACACCACGCCCAAGGTGACTTCACTCTCGAATGCCAGCAAATAACTTGCCCGCTGCGGCTCTCTGCAAAATGCCTCTCCCGTCCTGGGGCAAGAAGGCCCTCTCCAGATGCTCGCAGGCAGAGGGGCTTCTGGCTGGTGGGGGATGTCAGGAGGAGCACTGAGGCCTCTCTGCCCTTCTCCGCCCCTCCCTCCCCTCTCAGCAGGGCCGCCTCTGCCTGCTCCTGGGAGTGTCCACAGCCTCAGGAAGCTGTTCCCTGCTTCTCACTGAGGGGAGCCTTCTTCCCTATGGTGGTGAAGGCTACCAGCCTCCAAGAGTCCCAAACTAAGTGAAGATAATGAGGCTAAAAACAAATAAGATCACAAAATAATAAATAAACAGAAGGGATAGCCAGCCAGCCCAGGAGAACAAGGAAGGCAGGCTGTGTCCCAGGCCCCTTGTGCTGGGCCCTCCCTGTGTTGCTGGTGGCTACCTAGGACCCTCAGATGTCAGGGGCCCGAGGGAGGGCAGGTGTGGGTCAGGAGACAGGCATGCCAGGCTCGTGCCACCAAGCCACATCCCCAACCTGAATCTCATCACTTTTTAGGGAATTTGAACTTTCACCTTAAAGATCCAAATCTCAAAATATTGACAACAAAGTCATTTATATATATATATATATGAAAACGGAATTAAATTTGACATGGGCCCCTTCTGGTCTCCTCCCTTTGGACCACATGGCCAGTGCTTCCTGTGAGAGTCCCTTGGTCTGCCATGTGCCCCCCGCACGTGAGGTCATTCCTCAGCATGTGCTCATGTGGCCAGGGCTGGTCATGGTCACTGAGTGTGCTGCTCGGGCCTCAGCGGCTCTGATGCCCTCCCTGTTCTGCTGCGGGGCCTGGTGGTGACCAGCCACGGGGCACAGGCAGGAGCAGCCTGTGCTCAGAGCTAACAGGTGAGCGCTGGACCTGGGCTCTTGGGCTTGGACTCTGCCTTTTGAGCAAAGACGGGAGGATGTCCTGAGGCCAGGACAAGCCCCAGGAACACACCCCTTCACTCAGCTCAAGAAACCTGGCCTGTCACTCCCTTAGGACCCTTCCTGGGGACTGTGACCTCTGGTCCACGGGAGCCACAGCTGGGGCCAGAGACTGGAGCAGGAGGCCACGTGGGGGGTGTGGACCTGGGGTGGACGTCCACGTAGTGGTGGTATGACTGCAGGGCTTCTCCGCCTGTCCCCTCTGTGGAACAGGGCAGTTGCAGCACCTGCCCCTGTGGTAACTGTGAGGTCCTCCAGCTGAAGTGGGAGCCCCAACCTGGAGGAGAAGGGGTGGCCTTGCAGAATGTCCACCAGGGGAGAGGAGCAGGCACCCTCATGTCCGAGGACCGCAGAGGCCCTGCAGCTCTGCTCCGATGCTCCCAGCACTGAACACAGAGGCAGGGAGTGGGGCCTCGCTGGGCCAGAGTTCCCCATCCGCTCTGCCTCCTATGGGGACACCGACCGTGGAGAGGGGGTGAGGGACCAGTGCTGCTCTTGGGGGTGGCGGGAGAGGCAGCATGGCTGGTGGAGTGTGGTGGGCTGTGCTGGCGCTCAGGGGCCTCCTGTCCCCACAGCACATGCGTGAGGCTGCTGAACGGCGGCAGCAGCTGGAGTTGGAGCATGAGCAAGCCCTGGCTGTCCTCAACGCTAAGCAGCAGGAGATCGAGCTTCTGCAGAAGGTGAGGCTGGGTGGGAGGGGGTGGGTGGGGGGCGGCATGAGGGGGGCATCACGGGCTGCAGGGCCCCTCCTCCCTGCAGGTCCCCCGTTTTTGCTCCACCCTGCTCTGCCTTCTCTTGAGCTGCCTGGAAGCCACATCCAGTGGTGCACAACGGGGTGTCCACCCTGGGAGGCCCGGGAGGGTGCTCGGACCCGTGCCTGGCACGGACTTGACGGCTTCGGCTTTGGGGAAGATCCACCTGCAGCACAGACCCAGTGACAGTGTAGAGATGTCCACCCTGCCACCCTGCCTGGGGTGCACCATGCCAGAAACGCAGGGCAGGGTCCCAGTGTTGTCGTGTGGGGTGGGGATGGGACCTCAGTTCCACCAAGCGTCCACCCAACTGCCATGCTTGTGTGGAGTGCGGCATGTCCGTACCGTGGCCCAGTAGGGCACCACTGAAAGGGGAAACTTGGTTTGTATCCACTGTTGGCACGGCATGTTATTAAGTGAGCAAGTTGCTGAGCAGTATTTATAGCAAGATCAGAGGGGGGGAGAGGGAGAGAGAGAGAGGGAGAGGGAGATGGAGGGAAGGAGGAAGAGAAAGAGGGAGAGAGAGGGAGAGGGAGAGAGGGAGAAGCTGAGGGAGGGAGGGAGAAGAGAGGAATCAAGAGAAAGAGGAGGAGAAAGGCGAGACGGATGGCAGGGAAGGAGAGAAGAAGGGACCAGCCAGCCAGGAGTCAGGTGCATCCCCAGGCACCTGTGACTGGTGGGCTAAGGATGGTGGCCCTGCCCTTTAGTGTGCTGTCTGAACAATGGGTAGGAAGTCCCTCTTGCAGGAACAAGGGGCTGGTTGGCCCCGAGGAACTAGAACTATTCTAGACCTGAGAACAGTGTCTCCCCGATGCCCAGTGTCCTGGCTCCTGCCCACTCCTCCTCCTGGCAGGGCAGTGGGCCCTCCGGCAAGATCACCTGGTCAGGGCTGGCAGAGGGATGAGACCCCAGAGGGCTGTGGTCGGTGCTCATGGCCCTGGCCCTGCCATTGGCTGTTGAGCCCAGGCCAGGCCTTAGGTCTCCACGGAGGCCCGTAGCCATCCACGGCCTCTCTAGTCCTTGACCTCACAAGAGCCACGTGATGCTTCCCACCAGGGCTGGGGGTGAGAATCGCCACTGTTCTCTTCCAAGGTTGATTAGCAAGGGCTGGGGCAGCAGCCAGATGACTCCTGGTGGCCTTCCTCCAGTCGTTCCGGAAGCCTCCTTCCAGGGGTCGACTTCACCAAGCCAGCGCAGATGGGAACCCACAGAACCTCTGTTGCTGCCGCAGAAGTTGGCTGTCCCCTGATAACCACATGTGTGGTGCCTGGGAGGAACCCTGCTGGGTTGCAGGTGGAGGGACATACTGCTCTGGTCTTCCTCCGTCCTGCCCGGGGGCCTCCCCCATGGCCGGGAGGGAACCTGCATTCATTCATGTCAACGGGGAAGCCACATCCCCAGGCTGGCCCCGTCTGACACACAGAAGTCTGCAGAGCTGCAAGTACTGACCAGCAAGGACTCTGCTTCTGGACAGTGACGAAGTAGCTGACACCGAGGAGGACAGCAGGCTGCTCCTGGTTATCCTCTTGCCTCGGCGTCTACTTTCCCTCGCTCTCTGTTTACTTATTTTGCATGGCTCGTGGTTTTCTCTATTTTTGGACACACTGATGCTTCCTCTGGGGGAGGAAGAGAGACCAGATGAACTATGGACGCACCAATTGTGTAATTTCTTGGAAACTCTGAATCTTAAAGCAGATACTGAGCGTCAAGTGAAATGAGTTCGGTGAGCTCTCCCCGGAGTCCACTTCCTAGCCAGTTCCACCCTGGATGTCTGTCAGGAGGCCTGAGCTGACCGTCCACCTGCTCACTTGTTCATCAAGGACTGGTGGTCCCTGGATGCCACTCAGCTGATCCTGGGAAAGGGGTGGTGTTGTCCAGGGAGCCTGGCCTCTGCCCAGTGGGAGCAAGTGAACACACACTAGGACCAGGCAGCCCAGCCCGAGCCACGACAGGCGCCCCGCGGGAAATGCAGAGAGGAGTGGAGGTGTGACGGGCAGTGGCTGCGGGTGAGGGTGACATCTAGTGAGCAGAAGACGCCCCCCTGCCACGGGCCAGGGAAGGGCTCAAGTCCTCAGCAGGAGCAAGCTCAGCACGACGGAGAGGACAGAGGCCAGGGAGGCGGGCTGTGGGCATCAAGGGGACAGGGCTTGATCTTGGACTGCAGGCACAGAGCTGGATTCTAACCCTCAGGCCACCAGAAAACTGGCGTCCAGCCCAAGACGTCCTTGACCCCCCCCCCGCCCCGCTAGGATAAAAGCCAGTCACCGTGCTTGGCCTGTCCGGGCCCTGCGGGGGTCTGAGGGGTGCTGACACAGGAGAGCTACCTGGTGTCTCTGTCCACATCCCCGAACCCTCTTGGAGCCCACCCTCTTCACACTACCAAGCAGCTAATTACCTCATGCGTGGACTTCACGCCCAGGGCTTGGTTCTCTGCCCTCATTTTCTCTGACCCAGAGGCCCCGTGTACACAGCAGGCTTCCGGGACCGTCCCAGCCTGGATCTGTCCTGTCCACACACCCCTCTAAAGTCACCCTCTGACTGAAAGCTGGTGACCTCACCTGGCCCTGGGGGATTAAGACCCACTTGTGTGTGGCCTCCTGGGTTTGGGTCTCAGCCCAGATGCCCCCTGGGAGCCCCGGTTCTTTCCCCAGGCTCTGGGGCATCACCAACCTCCTGCCCCACTGACCCCCCCACCCCCAAGTCCTCAGCACTGCACACCAGCCACCTGGCCTGGCTCTGCAGATGGTGGCGTGTCCCCTGGTCTAGCTCTGGCTTCCTACTGGAGTTAATCGCTGCCCTGGTCATCGCCAGCTTCCAACTCCCAGTCCCAGACTCCCAGCTGGAGCCAAGAGCTCCTTCAGGACTGTCCTTGCCCTCCCTGGTCCTCGGCACCCACGTTCCCCGAGCTCCTGCTGGATGGAGCCCTGGCCTCTTCCTGCAGGCCAGGCTGCTCTGGAGGCTGCATGCGGAAAGGGGTCCCGGGAATCCCTCTCTGCTGGACCCTCTGCCCTCCAGATCCCAGGAGCCCTTTCTCTGGACGCAGAGGGTGCGTGAGCAGCCAGGAGCGTGTCTGGAATGTGTCTGGGTACTGCCCCTTCCTGGCACGTGGCTTCCTCTGGGGCCACTTTTCCAGCCACAGCCACCCTGAGGACAGGCTGGGCATGCAGACAGTGAAGGCCAGGGAGCCGGGCCCATCGCCTGGCACAGGTGCCTTCCTGTCCTTGGTGGCCCCTCCCCCTCACAGTGTGGGGCTGGAGGAGACCGTGACACTGTGCCAAGGCACTGCTATATTGAAGGGCAAGCAGGCAGAGGGACCCACGGCCTCATACAAGGCTGTCCTTGTGGGAGTCAGGTGAGACGGGCAGCCTGCCAGCCCTCCGCCCAGGGGCCTGGGCAGAGTAGGAAGGCAGGGAGGCCAGGGTGAGGCCCGTTCTGCCGTAGCCACAGCTTCCCACGGGATGGGGAGGGAGTGCTCACAGGGCCTTGCTGTCACTCAAGGGGCATGAGCACCTCAGGTCAGCAATGCCCAGGGACGCGGACAGGCCAGACAGGGTGAGGCTGGGCTCTGGATAACGCTGCACTGAAGGAAGCATCTGCAAGGGACTGGCATGGCCCTTTCCGCAGAAGACTGGCCTTTTTGCCTTTGCTGGACCACCAAACCTGTCCCCTCTCGGGGCTTTTGTCTAGAATGCAGGTCCCCAGGCCATTGCAGAACTGGCTTATTTTGTCAGGGAGTCTGTGCTCTACTGCCCATGTGGCACAGGGCATGGGACGCCAAATGTGACTGCTTGTTTCTGTGCTTGCCTTTTGTCAGGACACAGCGTCCACAACCCAGGGCCTTGCCTGACACACAGTAGGTGCTCAGGAGCATCTGAGGAAAGCTTATGGTCAGGCCAGAGTACGAGGACAGGTGCTGGATTCGAATCCTCCCATGCCCATGGATTGAATTCGCAGCCCCCCCACAGCCCCCAAGAACTGTGGGCACAGGACCCTGCATGTCAGCAATGGGAACCTGAGGACAAAAGCGGGCTCAAGACACGGTGACAACTCCGAGCCCTTATCTCTAGGCCAGAGAGACCCCTGGAGTCCACCCACCCCCTGTTTTTGAGGGTTTCAGTCTTGGGTGGGCCACGTCCAGTCCTACAGCCACCCATGGAATGAGCAAAGAGTTTCCATTTTTAAAATGCATCTGTGGATCTGACTAGGTCGACTATTGTTTAAACTTCTTGTGGCTGGCGAGCTGATTGTGGTCAGTTTCAAGGCTGTTGTTGAGATGTCAGAGCTGGAGAGGCCGTGGTCTCGTGCTCTGGCTCAGGCCACCTCCCTGGGAGGCCGCATCCTGTTGTGTGGGGAGCAGGCATGGGCTCTGCACTTCTCCAGACACACCCCGGGTGTTGGTGTATGTTGCCAGCTTGCTGAGTCTGCCCAGGGCCAAGGCAGGGTACCCATGGAGGCTCCACGGGTTCCCAGGGTCTTGTTTGCTTTCTGTGGAACTGACTTGAAAGACACCGATGAAGGCCCTTGGCTCCTCCATCCTACCAACCCACTGCCGTGACCCCTGGGCAATTCCTATTCTGAGTGTCAAGGGGACTGTTCTGCTCTTGTGCCTGCATGGCTGGCTTGGAGTCTCTTCTGCGGCCTCCTGGGCAGCTGGTCCTGGGACAGCAGCCCCTCCTTCCAGCCTCAGGGGCCCAGGGTGCCCGGGGGGCCTCAGTCCTCTGGAGTTGCACCCTCAGTGTGGTCTATTCTGCAGGGTGGCACCTGCCTGCCCATGGGCGGGGCCCTGGGAGGGAGCCTTGCTCACTGCTGCTGAGATTGTGCAAGGACTCGGCTCTGCCAGGTCCATCTGTTAACTTTTGTTCTAACTGATTGTCCAGGGGCCCAGCCTGCAGGCAGCCTGACAACATGAGCCTACATTTCTATCCAGAGCCCAGGACTGAATTGCTGCCAGCCTGGCTGGGCGGTGCCGGCCGCCTTGGCACTGCCCTGTGGGCCTGCCGGGCGAAGGCCTCCCAATTCCACGGATGCCACGGGGCATTGTTTGTGCAGGCCTGCAGGTCCCCTGACCCAGACTGGCCTTTTTCACGTTCTGTTATTTATTATGGCTCTGGTGGGTTTTTCTGAGAAAGGAACAATTTTGAGCACTTGCCATCTGGGCTAGCTAGAGAAGAGCATGATTGACAAGCGGAGTCCCGGTCACTTGCCTGGCTCTCGGCCCCTCCTGGGAGGCATGGGAGGATGCTGTGGGTGTGGATGGACCCCGGGAAGTGCCAGCCCTTTTTCATGCTAGTCGGTGCCAGGATCCAGGTCCCCCTCTGTCCACCCACACGCAGTCTTCCCAGGGAGAAGCCGCAGCTGCGAGGACATTGCCTACTTGCCTATTTGTGACGGACGACACCCCAGACGTATTTCTCCAGGCTGAACAGTGGGTCTCAGCTTAGCACCGGGGTCTTTCTTGGTGCCCGATACTCCTTCTCCAGACATCAGTGCTTCTGCCATGGGAGTGTCTGAGCCCACTGAGCCCTGAAGAGTGGGGTACACAGCGGGGTGGGGGGGTGCACCCAGGAGCCCTGGTTCTCAGACCCTCCCAATGAGCTTCCATTTCTCCAACTTTACAATGAGGGGTGCCACGGTCTCAATGGTGGATGATGGTGTTCATTCAAGGACTCTCGGCTTCAAGAGATGGAAAATCCACAAAGGAAATCTTGTCCTCACCAGTAACTGGAAACCTGACTTCAGATATGGCTGATCCAATGCTCAAACCAGCTGGTTCCGACACAGCTAAATCCCAAGTGCCATTAGAACTCATTTCTCTCTGGATCGGCTCCCAACCTTCTCTAGGGCAACTCATTCTGGGGTTCCCCATGGCGGACCCTGGCCACGCCAACCTGGCTCCAATTTCGACTTCCCTCAGGTTATGGCCAAAAAGGGAGAAATCTCCCTCCTTCCCAGAAGGCCCAGGCCAAGTATCATTGCTCAACTTAGGCTTTGTGCCCAGGCTGATGCGCCAGTCTTTGAGAGTGTGAGACCTTGCTCATTTTTTCAGGGCAGGGGAGGGTGGATCCCAGCAACTTCAGGGGCCTTCCAGGAGAGGAGGCAAGGTCACAAACACAACTTAGATCATCACGATGCTGGAGCGTCCAGGTCGGAGAGGACGAGGAGCAATGTTGCATTCCAAGGTTGCAGGAGTTGCCCTGTGCAGGGCCACGGCTGTCCTGAGCCTGGAATGTCTTTGGTGACACTTGTAACATTTCCTCTGTAAGACCCCCACCCATGGCCTCTCCTTCTAGGCCAGGGAGATCTCGGCCCCTGAGCTGTTTGGGGTCACCCTTGCTGTTCGCCGTGTTTCCCTAAGGGTGAGGATGTGGGACCCGACAGCATGTGATGGCCTTGGCAGAACCACCCTGCTCTTTGGGGCTCAGCGTCCCTCCCTGGGCCGCTCTCAGGAACAGGACAAGACTGCCCACCCTCAGGCCCAGCCACATCCCAGGGCCCACCCTGTGTGGACCACAAGAGCATCAAACCCAGCCAAAGCCGCTCCTGGCCCTGGGGGAGACCCTGGGAGCGAGGGGCCCCATCTCAGAGCCACCAGCCCCTCCTTTCCTCTGACCACTGCTCTTCTCTCTCTCCATGCGGAAGGCTCAGGTTGAAGCTAAGAAAGAGCACGAGGGAGCCGTGCAGCTGCTAGAGGTGAGTGGGCCTCGTCTTTCTGGGGCCATGTCCACCTTTACCCCCAGGGCGATGTCTACCTTTTCCCCCGGGGACACTGGGGCATGGAGGGGAGAAGCCCTCCTCGGCCACACAGCCAGCGTCAGAGCTCCTGTCTCAGGGGCTGCTCTTAGGGGGAAGCCAGGAGTGGCCCCTGCCGGCCTGGGAATGGTCCCTAGGACTGTGGGCGAGCTCTCTCTGGGCCTCCTGTCCTCTGGTGGGTGGTGTGACACCAACCATGGGGAGGCACTTACAGGATCAGAGAAAGGACAGCCTAGCAGTCAAAGTGGTCAGTGCCACCAAGGCACTTCCAAGGGTACCATCCTCATGGGAGTGACCTTTTTCAGCCCCCCAGGGAGGGGGACTTGGAAGGAAAACTGCTGGGCTGGGTGACTTCATGGCAGTGGACACTGCTTGCCCTGGCTTTTGGTCCAAGGCCAGCCTCCTCTGCAGAAGGTGGACAGGCATCAAGGAAGGGCTCTTGGGGTCATTCTGGGGACCTTGGCCACCTGTACTCTTCATGCATGCAGAGCAGCAGGAGGCCTGAAGACAAGGGCATGCAGTGAGCCACCTGCTAGGGGTAGGCAGAGTGGACTGCCCAGCGCCACTCCTCCTGGCCGCCAGCCCCCAGTGAGTCCAAGCTCTCCAGATAATGGGCAGAGTCACCCCTTAAGATGGCCTGTCCCTACCCCCAGGGAAGAGCCTCCACCAAAAGCAGCATGTGCACCCTTGTGTGGCCTGGGGGATGTTCAGTCACCGTCACGTATATGTGAGGTTGATTTTTCAGTGTGTCCTTTAGTGAATGGGTGTCAGGGTACCATGTGAACAGGGTAGGAAACACAGCTGGGAGACTGCCCTCCCTAGGCCCCGCTGCCCCAGAAGGCCAGGCCCCCCCTGCTCCACCCTCCCCTGGCTGCAGCCCCTGCCTCCAGGCCCCCAGAGTTCGTCCCTGCGGCTCCCCGCTGGGGCTTCCCCTGGGCTGTGCTCAGGGTCTGCTGTAGCCCCTCACCGCATGCTTTGACTGGCAAGAAGCATGTGCCTGGGTCGGGCAGAGGGGAGGGCGGCGTGGCTGCTGGGAATTGTCTATTCACAGTGTCTTTTTGTGATTGTGTCTTGCTTGGCTCCCCATGCAGAGCGCCCTGGACAGCATGCAGGTACTCCCAATAGCCCTGACCCTGCCCGTGTGCTGGTGCCCCTCAGCAGAGCCCCGGGCCAGCCCTGCCCTTCCCCTCCCCTGGGCTCCTTGAGGTGCTGCTGTGGGTGGGGCTCTGGGCTCCCAGCCTGGGGGCCCAGGAGCTTGCACTAGCCTGCAAAGTGCTGTCCCCTGGACTGTGGGGCCAGCCCGGGGCCCACGCTCTCCTGTGTCCTGCCAATGCTGTCACATAGTCCTGTGAATTCAGATGACCAATGGGGAAGAGAGATTGTTACGATGATCTGGTCCTTTGGCAGCCACGGGATTGGGAGGGCACAGCTCAGTGCCCAGAATTCAGCACGGGTCATCCGAATTCACACCACACCCTGGGTGCTGTACCCTTCTGTCCTGCGTGCCCTGTGCCAACAGCAAGCTCCCTCCACGGCTGAGCGGGACAGCCCGGTTCTCCATGGGGAGTGGAGGTGGAGTATGAGCCGAGCTGTCCCTGGAGCCGGCCTTTGGGCATTTTGCAAGCCTCTGAGCCCACTTAGCATTCAGAAAAGGGCCAGCTCTTCTCTCTGCTGGAGGAGGGTCCTCAGGTGGACCCAGGCCCTGTGGTCTTGGCATCTCCTGGAAGCTTGCTGGAGGGGCAGACTCTGGAGCCTGGGATGGGTGTCTGTGATCTGTGTGCCCCCCAGGGATGGAGGCCACAGGGTCTGGTGACATTATTGGAGAGTCCAGGGCCCGAGGCTGCAGGGTCTGCAGAGTCCAGTGTTGTTGCTGGAGAGGCTGCCAGGCCAGCTGCTGGGAAGAGGGGATCTTTGGGGGTGCGGTTCTCTGAAGCCTGGTCAGCCCATATTCTGGCTGTAACAGAGCTCCTCCCCGCCACCCCCAAGCCACTTACCTACATCCCAGGATTGAGATATGGATATAAATTGGACCCATCGGGTTGGGTCATCGAAGGTGTGGTTGAGTGCAGCAGTTTTTGTTTCTGAGTGTACGGTGGTACATCCTGAATGTCACGAGGTGGCTGATGTAGACAGCATTCCTCTAGGTACAGAGAGGCCTGCGGAGGCTCACCTGGGAGGCCTGACCCTGCCCTTAGATGCCACGTGCGGAAGTCCAGCCTTGGGACGTGGCAGCCCTGTTTCCTGGAGTGTGAGCGGGCAGCGTGCAGGTGGAGCCAGTCCCACGTGAGCCCCAAGAGCCTGGTGGCCCGGAGCCCCACCCTGCTCTGGCTTCCTGCGGCCCCTGCGGGGAGGCCAGGCTGTGCTCTGGCAAAGCTGAGTCAGAGGTGGGGGGACTGCAAGCCCCACGCACAGCTCCATTTGACTGAGGCCCTGGCCTGCCTGCCCCATCCCTGTCACCGGCAGTCCCAGAGTCACAGCACCAGAGCGGGGGAGCATGACAGAACTTAATCTTTAAAGCCACAGATGAGGTTGTCATTCTCTCATTTCACTAGTTAGGCAATCACGGCACAGAGACCTGAGCCACTTTCCCGGGGACACACAGCTCATAATTGGCAGAGCCAGGTCCTGAGGGCCAGTCTGCTCAGCAAGGTCACCTCCTAAGCACTGAGAAAAGTCCTGCAAGGAAGAGGTTCCCTGAACGGCAGTGCTGCCACACAGCACTTACCCAGTTCCCCTGCGATGGTCATCAGGAGCAGGCCTGACTGGCCGGAGGCAGAGGGATGCCCTCTGATGTCCTGAATTTCCAACAGCTCGGTGCACTCGAGAGGAAGCTGCCAGCTGGACAGGTCTGGGCATCTGGGCACAGGACTAGTTAGAGATCCAGCCTGAGGTGCCACCCTAAGTCCTGTGCCTTGTCCACTCAAGCATGGGGCAGCTCAGATACACAAGCCAGTCCACACCTCCTGAGTACGTCCAGTCCCACCAACAGTTGCCTGTCCTTGCTCATGCTTAGGAGAGAGCTGGTCACCTCACGGGGACACTGGCATGCTCATCAGCACACCCTGGCATCAGTGGAGACACAGCCAGCCATGGCTCCGGGCAGTGTGGCTCTCCGGACAGCTGTGGGCCCTCCCCACAGGTGGGATTCTCAGCATGGCCATTCACTGTCCTGGAGTGGACACCCCACTCACTGGGCCGAAGGTCTGTGAATTACAGATTGCAGAGCCCCAGCCCCAGGACACAGTGGTTGTTGTGTGGGGACCTGTGTGGGACAGCTGGAGGTCAGTAGGGCCACAGGGCCACACAGCCTGCCCTGATTCGCCACTGGACCTGCCGATGCAGGGACAGGACCTGCACTTTCAGGATCGCTGTGTACAGCCCGCAGCCCCTGCCTCCAGTGGCCCCGGCCCTGCCAGACCTTGAAGCTTAGAATGAAGGGTTTCACCCTGAGACAGATCCCTGCTTCCCTTGAAGAACTGGAGTTGGGACCAGAGCGGGCTGGACAGAGCCACACCCGGGCCATGCTCCCCTCCTCCTGTGGGCAGCCCTGTGCCATTGGCTGCACTGCAGAAGGCACCGTGCACCACTCACGGTCAGCTCCTAGCACCTGCCCAGGACCTCCCGAGCTCAGCAGGCTGGAGCTCCACAGCCTTGTGTGGGTACCGGCTGGGACAGCACACCCCACACCACTACTGGGGCCAGCGGCTCACAGTCCCCGGCCAGTGATCTGTACCGCAAAGACTGGACACTCTCTCTGCCCTCTGAGACGAGTGCCGTGTAGCCCAGAGCTTCCTGCCGACACTCTGCCCTGCCTCATCACCTTGGCCTCTTTCCACAAAGGGAAGCAGAGTCCAGCCTCCTGTGGACAGGACAGCCTCAAGGCCTTGTATCTCACTTCTGCGGGGACCTGGGGAGTGGGGCCTTTGGCTCAGTGCAGGACGATCCTGTTGTTGGAGGCCTGTGGGCCAAGTCAAGCCCGGCTCCCTCTCTCCCTGAGAGCCCCCGTGCTGCTCAGGGAGGCCAGCCCCACCCAGACTTCCTCTGCCTGTGAGCCAGGGCCCTCAGGCTTCCTTGGCAGGCTCTCCACTGGACAGGCTCCTTCTGTGGTGACTAGCCTGTGTGGACACCTTCTCTGTGCCACTTTCTAGACCCAGTGCTGAGCAGGTGGGACAGACACAGGGGCAGACGTACCCAAGGGCCCACAACTGCAGGCCCTGGCGTGAGGCATTCCTGGGTGCAGAGTCCTGTGCAGGCTCATGTGACCTCAGCTGTGCTCATGTCCTTGTGTGGGACATAGCATCCTCCAGCACTGGCCATCCACACACTGCTGTCCTGGTCTTCACTGTGGCTGCCTGGCCTTGTGGTGTCATCGTTTTAAGACCCTATTTACTTTTTGAACCTCTTTATTTTGAAGTACTTTAGAGTCACAAAAGCTCAGAGGCTTCTAGAGTCACAGAGTGTTCACTGGACCATAGGGGAGTCGGCAGGGATCTGGTTCAGGGGCAGGGCCACCTCCTTTGGACCTCTCCAGGGTCCACTCACACTCCTTTTCTGGTTCTGGTCACAGTTGTGTGGAATTTGGTTGCACGTCTGGGCCCCGTGACCATCACGGCCAGGAGCATGGTCGGCTGTGCCACCTGAGGACGTCACGCCCTCCCATCTGGGCCCTGAGGACCGTGGCTATGCTCATTTCAAGGGCTCCTCAGAGGACACCTCTGTGGGCACCGCTGCAGGGGGGCTGGGGGCGGTGGCTTTCCTGGGGCACCAGGAAGTACCTGGAACTGTCGAAACCCGGGTTCCAGTTCCTCCACGCACCCCAGGCATCTCACCTGGCGCACAGGTACTTGCAGCCTCTGGTGCCTCCGGTGAGCTCAGGCCCTTCCCAGGCCCTTCCTGCGATGGCATGTGGCCGCTGTTCCCAGGAGCCCCTGTCTGCCAGCGTCTCAGGCCCCAGAACCTGACGTCACCGCGGCTCACCCCGGGGTTTTGGCTCTGTGCCTGCCTCAGCCAAGGCAGCCATCCTGGGCAAGCTCATTCAGATTTTTAAAGAAGAATCCTGCTGGTTTTTTTTAATGAATTGGAGAAATTAATTATAGGCTTGGGACATGTTAGGTTTATTTTTAGAAATCCATGATCTCAGACACAAATAGCACTTCATTCTGGATGGAGGAACCCAGGGGCTGCAGCTCCAGCGGTGGGGGAGGAGGGGAAGGGGGAGGGGGAGGGAGAGGGGAGAGGGGAGCTGCAGGGAAAGCTTGCCGCAGCTGGCACAGGTGCCTCCAGCCTCCACTCCCACTTTCCCTTGGGCCTCAATAAAACTGATATCTGTTGAGCGCTGCCTGCATACAATGCCTGGCCCATGCCATGGGCTGGGTGCGGCAGGAACCCAGCAGATGAAGACCTGACCTGGAGATGATGTTTTAGCAGGGGGCAGATGATGGGCAGAATCAGCGCTGGCACAGACAGGGTGTCCCAGCCGTCTTGGAGTGGGGGACAGCAGGACAGGGCGTGCACACAGATGGCACAAGCCATGCTATGGAAACATGGTAGCTGCACATCAGGACTTCCCGCTTTGCTTCGATTCATTTATTAAGCACCGACTGTGTACCTGATGTACCGAGAGGCACTGAGGACGTGTCTGAAAAGAAGGAAGTGAAGGCACAGGGCTTTGCGGTCCATGGAGACATACAAGGGACAGGATGGGAGGTGGTGGGTGCAGGGAAGGAGGAGTGTGGGGCAGGGACCACCTCCCCCTCCACCTGGGCACCGGCCTTGCCTGGTGCAGGAACTCCTGCAGCAGAGGGGATGGGGAGGGGGCTTCACTGGTGCATGCTGGCCCTGAGCATTGGGCAGCCACAATGGGGTCAGGAAGCAGCAGAGAGCAGAGAGGCTCAGAGGCCGGCTATGGCCTGGCCCAGGCCTGTGCCTGAGGAGAGAGCTCACTGGGCGGCCCTTCTCCTGTGTGTCCTGAGGGAGGCTCTGTCTTTGTGAAGTGGGCAAATGGCAGCGAGTTTGCTGACCTGTCCAGCAGAAGGACATTCCCTTATTCTGCTAGAGGCGGTGCCCTCTGGGGTGGGCATTGCAGGTGGGTCAGCCACCGTGCTGTCCCAGCCTGGGCTGGTCACAGCTTCACGCTACCCACCTCCACCAGCTGCAGCCAGGCATGCCCTGGGTGCTGGCCACGCTCAGAGCCCGGATCAGCCGTGCTGGCTGTGAGCTGCACGCTCCCAGGATTCTTGGCACCTGTGCTTTCTCCTGGTGGCTGACAGCCGGCTGCATGCAGAGCTAGGCATTGGGCTGGGACTTCCCATGAGGTGGCAGATAGGCCTGCCATGCACACAGCCCACAGTCCTGGCCACGTGGGCCCCCAAGGCCTCCTGCTGACTGACCCCCTCCCACCTCTGCTGTGCAGTGCAAGGTTCGCGAGCTGGAAGAGAAATGCCGGACGCAGAGTGAGCAGTTCAGCCGGCTGTCCCGGGACCTGGAGAAGTTCCGGCAGCAGGCCGGGAAGATTGACCTGCTGGGCAGTGGCTCGGTGGCCTCGCTGGACATCCCCTTGGCCCCCAGCAAACCTTTCCCGCAGTTCATGAATGGACTAGCCACCTCCATTGGCAAAGGTGAGTACTGGGCCTCCCGGGGCCGGGGTGGGGAAAGGATGCCGTCCGCCTCCCAGCCAGGCTGCGCGGGCAGAGGCTTGGCAATGGATCCCACACAGCCAGGCTGGCCCTGCCCAAGGCTGAAGAGCACCGCACTGTGCACCTACACCAGCTTCTCTTCCTCATTTCTTCCCTCCCCTCTTTCCCTCCTCCCCCCTCTCCCTCCTCCCCTCTCTCCCTCTGCTCCTCTTTCCTTTCCTCTCTCACTATTGATGGATCCAGGGGTCTTGTACATACTAGGTAGGTGCTCGGCCGCTCAGCCACACCCCAGCCCTGGCTTAGTCCATGTCCTGTGTCCATTCATCCACCCCAGGCTCTCTGTCCGGCTCTTCCAGGGTGGGCAGGGAGGAATTGCCGGCTGGCCACGGGGTCCCAGAAGAACAGAGGTTCTGCTTCTGCTGAACCTTCCAGCAGGTCTCCTCTGCCTCCGGTGAGGTGGTCTTGGCTTGGAGGCCAGGTGGGTGACGAGTCTGGGTGTGAGCCCTAGGGGACTCTGTAAGCAGAGCCACATGACAGGAGAGCGAGGTCTCTAAGGACCTCCCTGCAGCAGACACTGCACCCCAATAGAATCATCCCTGAACCCAGGAGCTGGCAACTTGACAGGGTGGGAAGAGGCCCCGCCCCAGCCCCACCCCACCCCGCCTCCCAGGGCCCCCGGCCCTGCCCTCGCCTCCAGAGCCCCGCCCCAAGCCCCACCCCCGTTCTCATGGCCAGCTTTCCTTTCAGGATGGGAGCTGGGAACTTTTTGTGATATCCCAGAAAAAGTCACTGGGAATTAGCAGTTCTGTTTTCTGGAGCACACATGTCCCAAAGCTCAGGATCATTGGAGAGTGCACCTGAGAACCACCCCATAAGGTCACTCTCACCCCCGATGAGGCATGCCAGACAAAACCTTTTCTCCCTCAAGAATTCCTACAGATCTGAACAAGTGGAAGGTGACTGCAAGGTGACACTGCTGTGTGTTGGCCACCCATGCAGTTCGCTGGGGCAGGGCACCAGTCAGGACAGCCTGAGTTCTGCTGCATTAACAACCAACCCCAGACCCTGGGGGCTTCCACCAGCTCCGGGCCACAGCCCCCACCCAGCGGTGGACAGTCACTTCCACTCACACCCCTTCCAGGGCCGCGCTCCCAGTTGCCGGGGGAGGGAAAGATGTGTTAGTCTGGAGCAGGGTGCCTGCTGGTTCCTGGCTGGCTTCCCTGGGCTTCAGGGCCAGTCCCCCATGACCCTTTCCCTTGCACTGCTGCCTGCCAAGCCGTTCTAAGGCTTCAGGGCCGTGTGGCCACACGCAAGGTCCCCTTGCTAGACCTGATGTCCCAGCAGGGAGACGCTTCTGCTGTCCTTGGTGCCATCGGCTGTCACCTGCCCAGGGGAGCTCTGGGGCTCTGCCAGCTGCCTTTCTAGGGATGCTTTCAGGTCACTTTATATCCCCGGGTCCTCACTCAGCAGCTGTCCCCGAGGCTTTGGCCCGACAGAGGCTGGTCGGAGGCAGCAGGGCGCCCACCCTGTCCTTGTGCTAGCAGAGACCCTGGGGGAGGGTCTTCAGTTAGATCGCCTCTGGGTCTAACTGAAGGGGGACACTGAGGCCACCGTGGGTCAAGCCCTCAGTGCCCCTTCCCAGCAGCCAGAACGGGGTTCCCTGCCCCCAGCCCGGGAGGGTGGTCAGGCCGAGCCTCGTTGCCCTCCAGCAGGGCTCTTGCCCAAAGTGCTTTCCAGCAGTAAACTTGACCCTTTGGCTAATTAGGACTCTTGGTCATAGTGACAGCAAAATCTAACTTACCCTGGTGTGAACCAAAAGGAAATTGTCCTCTGGCTTCAGGTACAGCTTGGTTAAGGGGCTCTGGCCATGTCACCAGGGTCCAGTCTGTCCTCTGAGAGCAGGCTCTGTTCTTGTATGAGTTTCCTACTCCTGGTGGCAAAAGGGCTGCTGTGTCACTGAGACTCACAGTCCCATTCTAAGCTAAGGAAAGGGGAAGCCTGTCTGTGGGGGCTCCCACTAAAGCCCTCTGACTGGAGCCCCTGCCATGAGCTATAGACCCCCTTTATAGCCGGGCTGCATGGCTCAGGGCCAGGGGTGGGCTCAGATTAGCCGTGGACAAGATGAGCTGTGTGGGCCCCCCGTGGCCCCCCACAGCTGAGGCAGAAGAGGAAGGTGCCTAGGGAGCAGGTGCCACAGGCTTGTCTCATCTCCTCTCCTTTCCCCGCCATGCTCCTGCCCGTGGTCAGGTCACGAGAGTGCCCCTGGACACTACCCTGCGGTTGGTGACTATTCCCCGCTCTCAGGGGGCAAGCCGGAGCTGCTGTCTGCCAACCCCACCTTCCTGTCGCCATCAGGGAGCCCAAGATGCAGATTTGAGTCAGATGTGAGTCTTCCTGCCAGGCACCTGGCGCCGGGCCTCTGTGGCTAGTGGACATGGGGGCCCTGTCCATCCTGCCCAGTCCCACCTCGTCCTTCCACCCATCCTCCTCCTCCTGCCTCCCCTGGGTCCTTCCCTCACTGCAGCTAATCCCTGGAGCCTGTCCTCACTGCTGGCTAGGGGTGGCCTAGACAGCTCACTGATGGCTAGGGGTGGCCTGCGAGGGCCACTTTGGGCACACACCTGAGGCCTGGTCTCTGAGATGGCCCCTGAGGCCGGGACTCAGAGTGTCCAGCCAGCATGCAGAGAGCAGTTCACAAGAGAGAGTGGGCCGCTCAGTGACGGGGCAGGGAGAGGCTGGTCCAGCCCAGGGGAGGGCCTGCTTGGAGGGAGCCGGACACTTGTGTCCATGACAAGGGGTCCTGACGGGTTGAACTGGGGCTGGAAGGTGGGCAGTGTGTCGAGGCCTAGGCACCAGGACAGTGTAGGTTTGTCTGGTTGAAGGCAGGGGTGACGTGGCCACCTGCTTCTACCTGGAGAGTGTTTAGGGAGATGAGGAGCCAGACCTCCAGGGGAAGGCCACTCCTGCTCCCACCCCCGGGGCTGTCACTGTGGTGTAAGGGACCATGGCCTCCTCAGGGGATGGCAGAGTCAGGGCTGCAGGACAGGGCATCCCCTCCCCTCCCTGTCGTCCCCTCCTTGGGCACCATCAGACACAGAGGTGCCACCTCCGGAGGGCAGAGGACACAGGTACTCATCTGGGCTTCAGCGAGCCACCCACCCAGCGTGGCCAGCATTGCAGTCTGGGTCCATAAGAGGACCCTCAGGGCTTTCCTGGGGTTGGGCCTGGGCTCTGTGTAGATGTCCATTCTGCATTGGGTGCCCAATAGGAAGCCATTTCTGGGTTCACACAGGAGGCTGAGCATGTGGGGCTGCCCACCTGTGGGTGTCCAGTCTGGGTCCATTTTTCCAAAAGCCCATGGCGGCTGCGAAAGGGCTTCCTGGGTGTCCCGGCACAGAGGTGAGGCCTGCAGCCCCCTGACCAGGCCCCCTGTCTCCGACAGATGGACAATGAACAGAACTCCAACACCTCGAAGCAGAGATACTCGGGCAAGGTCCACCTGTGTGTCGCCCGCTACAGGTAGGAGCTGGCTGCAGTCTCCTTTCCTCACAGGGCCTTTCCAGTTGTTTTAAGTCAGTCTTTGCAATAGGAGGCCCCAGGGGCACCTGACTTTGTCTCACTCTGGCCAGGACTCTGACTGAAGTTGACCCCTATGTGCTGAGGACCTAAAGGTGTGACGCCCACCCTCCCAGGCTGGGCGAGGATAGGAAGCTGGTGCCACTGACCATGTGGTTGGCAGTCACACCCCAGATTGGAATAATGCCCAGATCTAATCCAACAAATATTCTCCCTGGGATCCGTAGGAGGAGATTGGAGAGGTGTGTGCAGCAGGATTATCCAGGCACACACTGGCTAAGTAAACCCTGCCAAGCTGCTTGGTGGAATACTACACATCCACTAAAAAGGCTAAGGCAGTGTTTCACGAGCACTATGCTGTGTAACAAGGTGACAAGTAGGTGGATCGTGAAGTAGTATGTGATAGGATCCGCCTTAGCGTGATTACATATATTTAAAGCTTGTAAGGTTCATTTCTTCCTATTGCCTTATTAATCTGGAGCTGTGTAGTTATGGTGGGAGGGCAATGGGACGATGTCAGGACCATCACACTTCTGTCCTCATCTTCCCGTGGTCTGTGTGAATGAGCCCGTGTGCTTGGCATGCGAGGCCCCGGCTGGGCGCGGGGCTGTGCTTTTCAGGCAGGAGCAGGAGGGTCGTGAACTGAATTCTGTCTCTCCCTCCAGTTATAACCCCTTCGATGGGCCGAATGAAAACCCGGAGGCCGAGCTGCCCCTCACGGCGGGGAAGTACCTCTATGTGTACGGGGACATGGACGAGGACGGGTTCTACGAAGGTCTCTGTTGGCACCAGGTTGCTGTTGGGGAGCCTGGCCAGTCCACCCCAGGCCAGCGCTCCTGGGCTGGCAGCTGGCAGGCCCCGGTCACTGCTGGCTGCCGAGCCGCTGCTCTGTCCCTGTGGGGCCTGAGTCCTCGGGTTCCCTTCAGGACAGGAAGGCTGGGCGGGGAGCCGGGTTCCCACCCGGGCAGAGGCTGGTGCTCGGTGGATCTTCAGGGTGCTCAACTCTGCAGGGCTGTCTGGCAGCCGTGGGTCTACCCCGGGGCTGACCGTCCTCTGCCCATGGTTGTCCCTCAGCACCCACAGGAACAGGTCCCAGGACTCCCGAGGATATAGAGTGGGCAGACGCCCAGGTCCCTCACAGGAAGGGGCACCATTGCTTAGGGCGTACGCACATCCTTGTTGCCCTCCCAAGTCCCCGCAGGTGCCCACAGTGCCTACCACCTTGCCAGTGCCCTGGGCAGTCACTGACAGTGCCCTGCAGGCAGTGCCAAGGAGAAGACTGCACTTGTCCAGGACGGGACAGTCCCCCCCATTCTACCCGCATCTGGTTGAGTCTGTGGTTGTGGAACCTGTGGACACAAAGGGCTGACTGTGCTCCCAGGGATCCCTTCTCTCTCATCCTCCTGCCCCCCAGCCCCCAGGCTGCATCCTCTGGTGTGGCCAGGGCCATCTAGGTGACCTCACTGAGAGTGGCTCCCAGCACCTGCAGAGGTGGCCCACCCATCCCGAGACTGTCATGGCCCCAGCGGGTCTGGCCCATTCCCAGGAAGATTGCTCCCTTTCACGCCACCCTCCCGCCTCTAGTTTGGTATCAGACAATGTGAGCTGTCTACCCAAAGGGCCTCCCTTGTTTAGCTTGAGGACACACAGGACACCCCCACAGTTCCGTGAGTAGCTTTCTGCTGTAGACATGAGCCTTCTAGTCCCTGAACAGCCCACTGTCCTGCACAGAGGGCCTGGGTCTGCCCCATCTAGTCCCTGAACCACCCACTGCCCCACACGGGGGGCCTGGGTCTGCCCTGGCCCCCTGGGCAGGAGGAGTTCATCTTGTTAAACCATGAGTTTTCTCTTGCATGGCCTTGCAGGGTCTCCCTAGAGCAGGTCGGAGCACCTAGGCTCATTTCTGGGCACTTGCTGGCGAGAGGCCAGGCCATCAGTGGACGTGTGAGCACCCCTGGCAGGCAGCGACATGTTTGCCATGAGCTGATTGCAATGCAGGGCTATGGCTCTGGAGGCCCCGAGTCACACCCCAGGGTGAACATGTACACCCTGCCCCATCGGAGCTCTGCCATCACTCCCTGCTCTGTGGCCATGGAGACTCTTCAGAGGGCTGGCTCAGAGCAGGTTGAGGAACTCAGGGAGCCACGGTCAGGGTGGCAGTGGGACCTGCTTCCCTTCTGGGCCTTAGTTTCCTCTGCTGCAGAATTAAAGTGGCAGGGTACCTACTCCTTAGGGTAGCTGTGAGGATAAATGAGGTGGCAGATATTAGGTGCTTATGATAGAGCCTGGCCCAGAGTAGGTGCTCAGCAAATGTTCACTGTCATCACTGTCACCATTATGACCTCACCATCGTCACCATCACCATTATCATTATCACTATCACCATCACCATCATCATTACCACTATCACCATTATAACCCTCACCTCCATCACCATTAACAACATCACCATCATCATCACTATTACCACCACCTTCATCACCATCAACATCACCATCAACATCATCACCGCTATCGCCATCACCATTATAACCCTCACCATCCTCACCATCATCACTATCTTCACCATCATCACCACTATCATAATCACCATCTCTATCACCATCACAACCATCATCAACACCATTGCCATAAACATTATCACCATCTCCATCCCCACCGTGATCATCACCACCATCACCATCAATGTCACCGTCATCACTATCTCCACCAATGTCACCACTACTGTCATCATTACCTTCCACCCAAGTCACAGTATGGATGTTTCATAGTCTGTCCTCCAGGGAACGCTTGGTCTTCCTTGAGCCCACACCCTGGGTCAGGGTTAGACACAGAGAACCCAGGGCAGATGGACTGGTCTCCGTGCCCTCTAAGGCCCTGTCCCACTTCCCCTAAGGCAGGAGTTCTCCCGGGAGCAGAATCCAGCCTCCCTGGTCACCTGGCTGGGTGGTAGCCTGTGAGGACCTGGGGGGACAGTACTGTGGGCTTTGTGCCTCACCTTCAAAGCTCCTGTGTGTACTTGTCCCTCTCCGGGGCAGTTAGCCTTTTGAGCTGCTGACAAGAAGCTTAGATTGCTCACACATAAGACAAGGTGGACACCAAAACTACCTCGGGGTTTTTATAAGCCACTCAGTTCTGAGATGGTTCTGACGCCAAGTCCACCATTCCATTTCACGTACAGTGAAGCAGTGGGGAGCCCCTGAATGGGGCCAGAGCAGGAACCCCACGGATCCCTATGCCTGTGCCCGCTCAGCTGTAGGAGGGTTAATTTTCTCAATTACCAAAAGCCGTGGGTTTTACTCGTTTGTTCATCCTTTGAGCAAATAGTTATTGAGCACCTCTTGGGTACCAGGTGTCACCCCAGAGCTGGCCCCATAGTCAGCGTGAGCTCCCTATCCTCATGGGCAGTCTTCTCATTGGGAGGCAGTCAGCGTACGTACCCAGGTAAACGAACACCGCGGCCCCAGATTCCGTGAGCCTCAGGGAGAGGCGGGGCCTCGCAGTGGAGGTCACTTTAGATGAAGTGCTCTTGTCGGGCAGGAGCGGTATGTGCCCTGTGACCTCAGGGCCCGATGGGACGGTGCACTGATAACCTGTCCTCGCGCCCCACAGGGGAGCTCCTGGATGGACAGAGGGGCCTGGTGCCCTCCAACTTCGTGGATTTCATCCAGGACAACGAGTCGCGGTTGGCAAGCACTCTGGGGACCGAGCAGGATCAGAACTTCATCAACCACTCGGGCCTCGGCCTGGGGAGCGAGAACATCCTGGACCTCCACTCCCCGACTCGCACAGACCCGGGCATTACTGATGACGGCGGGGGGACGCTGGATGTGAACATCGATGACATTGGAGAAGACATTGTGCCTTACCCTAGAAAAATCACCCTTATCAAACAGCTTGCCAAAAGTGTCATTGTGGGCTGGGAGCCCCCAGCCGTGCCGCCGGGCTGGGGGACTGTGAGCAGCTACAATGTCCTGGTGGACAAGGAGACGCGGGTGAGCCTAGCCCTGGGCAGCAGAACCAAGGCCCTCATCGAGAAGCTCAACACGGCCGCCTGCACCTACCGCATCTCCGTGCAGTGCGTCACGAGCAGGGGCAGCTCGGACGAGCTGCGGTGCACGCTGCTGGTGGGCAAGGACGTGGCCGTGGCCCCCTCCCACCTGCGCGTGGACAACATTACGCAGATCTCCGCCCGGCTCTCCTGGCTGCCCACCAACAGCAACTACAGCCACGTCATCTTCCTTAACGAGGAGGAGTTCGACGTCGTCAAGGCCGCGCGGTACAAGTACCAGTTCCTCAACCTGAGGCCCAACATGGCCTATAAGGTGAAGGTCCTTGCCAAGCCCCACCAGATGCCCTGGCAGCTGCCGCTGGAGCAGAGGGAGAAGAAGGAGGCCTTCGTGGAGTTCTCCACGCTGCCCGCAGGTGAGCCTGCGTCCTGCCTGGCCCCAGGGAGGGGGGCACAATGGGAGGGAGCCGGGCCATCCATGTGGCCTCCAAGGCTCAAGGTCAGCATGAGGGCACAGTGCCAGTCTGTGCTGATCCAGAGAGGGGACTCAGGGTGGCTTCAGGGCCAGCCAGGGACTGCTTCCTCGGCACTGGAGCCAGAGGCTGGTCCTGTGACAGGAGGAGGCTGGGCGCCTTGCCCCTCCATGGGCGTCCACTCCCAGGCCATTGAGGGAGGGCCTGCTCCTGTCCACCTCACTCCTTCTTGTCTCCCGGTCGTGAGTAAGCGCGTGCTGATGGGCTGCAGTGACATGAAGGTTGTCACAGAAGCCACCTGGGTCCTGGCCCAGCTGCGAGGCAAGGCTGTTAGCACCTGTGCCTGTGGCCTGTGGACAGGGAGCTGGCCAGGGCCCTTGTCCCCCGCACCTGGGGAAATCCAGAGGCAATATCAGCTGGAGGGCTCCTTCCTATGGACAGGACCCAGTGACCCCCAGTGCCTGGGCATCGAGCTGGCTCATGTGACATAGTCACACAAGAGACCTCCCTGTGGGGACCGGGGCTGTTTCCACATGCGCGCCGGGGCCAGGTCTGCCTGAGGCTTCCTGCTGGGCGCTGCCCACATAGTCCTTGCTTGAGCAGTCGGAAGGGTCCTCAGCCTCATCTGTGAACGTGAATTCCTCCGTGTTCTCCAGCGTGACCTTTGCCAGCACCTGGCCTCTTAAGCCTCATGTCATGCAGGACTGGCCTCGATGCAGGGGACTGGCTGTGCAGTCCTGTGTGCCCTATGGGGCAGACCCTCAGGAATTGCCCACCCACGGGGCAGCAATGGCAGAAGGTGGGCAGCACCGCCAAGGGAGGGCCTGTCCAAGAGGCGCTGATGGACGGGCAAGGTCAGCACATCATGCTCCGCGGTGAGCTCTGGTTTCCTACCTGGTGGCCGGGATCTGAATAGTGGTGACCCCAGGACATCTCATGGTCAGTGCTGGGGTGAAGGATTGGGAAACACCCAACACGGGCCCCCTGGCCCACTCGGGAGAGCTGGAGAGAGCGTCCCAGGGAGGGAACCTGGGGTGGGGAGTGGGGGTAGCAGGTGTAGCCCCGGGGTCGGCTCCTGAGGACTGCAGAAGTTCTCAGGTGGTCAGCCGGAGGCCTCTCAGTGTCTGGGGAAGAGGGTAGCTGGGACACTGACGGAGGTCGTGTTCTCAGAATTCATTCTTAAGCCACAGTCCTCGTCTACCCAAGTGCTGGTGTGGGCAGGGTCAGCATGCCATGCCGGGGGTGCCGGCGTGGGGCTTGTACCACGGGCCCTTCTGTAGCACAGCCAGCAGGGGACACGCTTCATTGAAGTCAGGCATTGGCTCACATGACACATGACGCAGGTCAGGACCCGCCATCTGCCTCCACCAGCTGAGACCAGGACAGCCTGTGGTGTAGAGTCCAGTCCAGGTCTGAGGCCCGGGGGCCAGGAGCACCCAGGCAGGGTGGAGGCAAGCTCACCCCCTCTACCTCTGCCCACACTGTCCATAGTGGCTGGGCGAGGCCACCTTCACAGGGGCCACCTGCTTCTGAGTCATTGACCTGCAGGAACAAGGTCACCAGCTCACTGGGCCCCTCCCTAATGGCCCAGCACCTTACAGCTAGTGTCCACCTTCTTAGGCCCTCACCAGCCCTGATTGGTGGGCCTTTCTGAGTGACAGATGCACTGTCCAGTGTGTAATCACAGCCGCATGTGGCTCCGAGCACTTGAAAGGACCCAAACTTTAAATCTCATCTAAATTCTAATAAATGAGAATGCCAGGTGCAGCTCGAGCTACTGCACTGTACCACAGGTCAAGGTCACAGCACGATTGCGCAGGGAGCTTGAAGGTTGAGGTCATGACACAACTTGAGCAGGGAGCTTGGAGGTCAAGGTCATGGCATGATTGAGCAGGAAGCTTGGGGGTCAAGGTCAGGGCACAACTTGGAGGTCTGGTCCTGATGGTGAGGACAGTGGGCAGAGCAGTCTAAAAGGTGAGCGCAGAATGTGCTGCAGAGGTTGGGCTCAAGCTGTGTGACTCTGAGCCTGTGCTTTACCTCTCTGTGCGGCAGGACCCACTCTGTAAAGCAGGGGCAACAGTAGTAACTACCTCATTGGTGTTCTTACTGAGAAGGGAGGTAATTCCTTGAACTGGACAGGAATAGCTCCAAAAGTGGGATTCAGGGTTTCTAGGAGTTATTTTGGGGAGAGAGTTCTGCTTATTTTGTTTAGACATGAAAGATGCTTTGCTGCGATGTCCTGAGCTGGGCCCCGAGTGCCTGTGGGTACCAAAAAAATAACTGAGGCGGGTGTGGGTGTCCAGGGCAGGCACGGGGCTCGTGTGCTGGTACGCGGGGCAGGGCCTTCCTGTTCTGCCAGCTCTTCTTCCACTTGCTCAAGTGTGCCCTGCTATATGCACACACCCTCGAGGAGACGGCGTGGAGTCCACTCATCCCAAGCAGACTGTTCCCTTTAGCCCTCCTGGGAGGTCAGAAGGGATCAGAAGATCCAACCTGCCCACACCATGAAACCTGACCAGGCATGGGCAGAAGCCCTGGCTGAGGGTGGAGTTAAGAAAGGCCCCTGTCCCCTCCTCGGGGGAGAGGGAAGAGGATGGGCTGGCTCCAGGACTGAGCCCTGCTACGCCTCGGGATGTGCTATCCAGGTCTCTCCGTGGTGCTGGGGATGGAACCATAGACTCTCTTCCTTCATCCCTTGAGAGTGCTCTTCCACCGCTGTGGGCCCGCATTGTCTCCACGCTCAGTCAGCCATCCTTCCTGTCGACCCTTCTTGATACTTTTAAGATTTCTTTTATCTTTTTTATTCTGATGTGCTCATGCTTTTATTTTATTTATCTTTCTAAAAAAATTAATGTAGATTCCTGGGCCTCCAGTAATAGTTTTCTTCAAAGTTTGAACATATTTGAACTGTTTTCTCCTTCCTCTCTCTCCTCATTGTGAAACTCTGCTGCACACAAGGCAGAGGGTCTGAAGGGTCCTAGAGGTCTGCAGACCCCTGATATTCACCGTTGCATTTCCTTATTGTGTCGCAGTTAGGATGATTTGTTTTCTCTGTCTTCCAGTTTTGGGAGTCCTTGCTTTGCAGTATTCAATCTGCGACTGTGAAGACCATCAAATGAGTTTTTCGTCTGTTTGTTTAGATTCTTTATCTTTCTGGGATTTTCATTTGGTTCTTTTTTAGTTTTCTTCTTGCTCTTGGATTCTCTGTTTCTTTATATCCTTTAACCTATTTGCAATGATTATTTTAAAGAATTTGCTAATTGCAACTCCAGAGTCATCATGGGCTAACTTCGGCTGACTTTTTTTTTTTTTTTTGGTACCAAGGATTGAACCCAGGAGTGCTTAATCACAGACCCATATTCCTAGCCCATTTTAGGATTTATTAATTTTGAGACAGGGTCTCACAAATTTGCTTAGGGTCTCACTAAGTTTTGCTGAGACTGATTTTAAACTTGGGATTCTCCCGCCTCAGCTTCCTGAGACACTGGGATTACAGGTTTCCATCATAAGGCCCAGAATGACTATTTCTTTCTCTTGATTATGCATCCCATTTTCCTATTTCTTTGCTGGCTAGTCATTTTCGTTATGAACAGGACGTGGTTGGTTACACATTATAGAGACCCTGGATTCTGTAATTTTTCTGCAGAAGTTGGGATTTGTTCTAGCAGACAGTGAAATTACTTGTGGCATATCTAGGTCCTATGTATGCTTGTTTTAGGCTTTATTGGGGAATTTGTATTTCCTTTATGCCCTTAGATCGTGGCCTTTAGTCCTGTGGCATGATCCCAACTTGTAAGGTGTGTCGTTTATGGGGCTCCAATGGGGAATCCAGTCTTCTCTACGTTCACAGGACTTGGACTCCACTTTGTTCCTGAGAAGCAGTTGAACTTTACTCTGCTGTTTGACTTGAGAGTCACCATCTTTCTGTTTCCTGGAGTCTTGTCTTCCTTACGTGTACAATTTAGGAGTCAAATACTAATTTGAGAGGATGGGGGTGAAGATTTAGGTTTCATCCTTCATTGGGTGTCTCCATTCTCCGGGGATTTCTCTGAGGTTCCCATCTTCTCAGTCACCCCTGGGGGCTCCCTTTTAACTCTGCAGTCCAGTAAGGCTCTCTGCTTGGGTTCCATCTCTCTACAAATTGCCTGGCCAGTGCTCTCAGGAAAAGGGCCAGTTAGCAGGCGGTTGCCTCATGCATTCCCCCCTCTAAGGGTCAGTTCACATAGCCTCTCCCGTCTCTCTTGCATAGGGCAAGGAACACTGGACACGTTTGTGAGAGGCTCTGAGATGCCCTGGGGTTCTCTCTCCACTGAGCTGCTTTCCATTAACAGGACCCCTGGTGCTTCTCCACTATGAACACCACCACGTCAGGTGGACATATATTGGGGAGTTTGGGGAATGCTGTGTCCTGTGTGTCTCGAGCCCTGCCAAAGGCTCATGCAGGTGGATTGGTGACCCAGAGATCTGTCCCACACTAAGGGGTCCCTGTGACATTGTGGGGAGGGGAGACAGACTTGCACTGAAGGATCATGGAGCAGACAGAGCTTAGCAGGGATCAGTCATCCCCCTAGACAGGGGACAGCCTCGGCCTCAGTAAGTCCCACAGTTGGCTGGTTAGAAAGATCCACTGACCTACAGCCATCAAAATAAGTGGTCTGACTAAAAGGATTATTCCTTCCGGAAAGATCTCCCTCTTGTGATTTGAGTCCTCAAATCAGAACACATGAGAAAGCATGTGAGGCTGATGGTGCCCCTGGCCAGTGTGTCGGCAGCACTAACTGAGCCGGTGACCAGTGGATATGCTTCACATGCGATGGACTCAGACCAATTCACAAGGTTGGTTGTATTGATGGGGACACGTGCCTGACTCTCAGAGGCTTGTGATGGCAGGGGTGACTGCTCCTCCCATCACAGTCTAAGGCAGGGCCTCCTGTCCCTCTTGCCTGGTAGCCCAGGGCTCAGGCATGGCTACTGTGGCTCTGACATCCCCTAAGTTGCTCCTGGAGTCCTTCCCACTGCAGTGAGCAGACAGGGAGAGAGGACGAGTGTCACGTGGGGAGGGTGCTCGTGGTGGGTGGGCTGGTCACTTCTGTCCACGTTCCAATGGCCACAAATGGCTGCCTGACTCAGAGCAAAGCAATGACAATGGTGTCTTGGTGAACATGACACCCTGGCCACATAGGTGCTCTCTGATGTCCATGTCCCAGGTCAGGGAGGTGAAGAGGGGAAGGCTAGGAAGTTGTCCACGGTTACGCCAGTTACTGTCCATGGTTATTCCACTGACTGGCAGGTCCGGGGTAGCCTCCAGCCTCAGCCTCCAGCCTCTTGCTTGCTTCTTCTAGGGGTACAACTGGCCATGGGTCATGCGGCCTGCCAGGCCATGTCTGTGCCCAGCAGGAAGCAGGGGCAGCCGGAGTGGGAGGGCGCGTCCTGCAGGCCCCATCCTGTGCTCGCCTTCTCTGGCAGACCCCTGTCTCCTGAGCCGTTCCGGGAGGAGTGAGCCTCCGCTCCCGATTGCAAGGAGGTTCAGGGGACCTCCGTCCCTGCAGAGTCATGTGCATCTTACGCACAGGCCACAGGCCAGCGCTGGGAGGAGGATCCCACGTCAGCACTTGGTGCCTGTGAGATGTCCTGTGGCACTTCCTGAGCCCTGACCTCCTCACGTGCAGAAATCACAGGCCGGCTGCGAGGATCGGCAGATGTGAGGCGTGTCGAGTGAGTAGGGGACGGTGGCAGACACTGTCCCCAGGAGGTGGCCAGCGCTCTCCTCCCCAGGAGCCCCTAGCTGGGGGCCCATGAGCCAGGCCTCACAGCCTCACAGGCCCCAAGATCACAGCACTCCTTCCACACTTAAGCTACCTACGCTGTCCAGCAGGCACAGAGGTGTCAGAGGGCAGGGCCGGCTGCCTGCCATCACTGGGGCCACATGGCCACAGCTGACCAGTTGCCCAGTTTGGTGGTCAGGATACCTCTGGCAAGGCAGATGAGTGCAGCTCACATATGTGGGCACCAGGAGGCCTGTCAGCCTGGCCACTGGGGAGTCTGTGGAGCTGGACTCAGGCAGATCACTCCCTAGATCCAGGACTCTCGGTCTTGCCCACTTCAGTGGTGGGAGGAGGGTGATGTGAGGGCTGAGCTGGCACCTCTGAGTCTGATGGGGAGGGGGGAGGGAGAGGGAGAGAGAGGAGGAGAGAGGAGGAGAAAGAGAGGAGGAGAGAGAGGGAAAGAGGGAGAGAGGGAGAGGGAGGGAGAAAGAGGGAGGGGGAGAGAGGAGAGAGAGGGGGGAGGGAGGGAGAGAGGGAGGGAGGGAGAGGGAGGGAGGGAGGAAGAGGGGGGGAGGGAGAGAGAGGGAGAGGGAGAGAGAGGAAGAGAGAGAGGAGGAGAGAAAGGGAAAGAGAGAGAGAGAGGGAGAGAAATGGAGGGAGGAGAGAGGAGGAGAGAGGGAGGGAAGAGAGAGGAGGAGAGAGAGGGAGGGAGAGAGGGAGGGAGAGGGAGGAGAGAGGAGGAGAGAGAGGGAGGGGGAGAGAGAGGGAGGGAGGGAGAGAGAAGGAGGGAGAGAGGGAGGAAGAGGGAGGGAGGGAGAGAGAAGGAGGGGGAGAGAGGGAGGGGGAGAGAGGGAGGGGGGAGAGAGGAGGAGAGAGAGGGAAAGAGAGGGAGTGAGGAGAGAGAGGGAAAGAGGGAGAGAGGAGAGAGGAGGAGAAGGAGAGAGAGAGGAGGAGAGAGGGAGGGAAAGGGAGAGAGAGGGAGGGAGAGAGAGGGAAAGGAAGAGGAGAGGGAGAAGAAGGGGAGAGAGATGGGAGAGAGGGAGAGGGAGGGGAGAGAAAGGGGGAGAGAGAGGGAGGGAGGGAGAGAAGGGAGAAAGAAAGAGAGGAGAAGAGAGAGAGAGAGGGAGAGGGAGTGAGAGACTGCTAGGGGCAGGAGGAGAGGGGGGAGAGGGGAAGAGGGACAGTGAGAGAGGAAGGAAGGGAGGTGCGGAGCCACCCTCTTCTGTGCACACCTCCCTGGCCCCTCTCCAGCCCCTCCTGGGCTCTGCTCTTGCGCAGGCCCTAAGCCAGCTGCAGAGGTGAGGGTCCTTCAGAAGTGATTGTAGGCCTTCCCAGGAAGGGTGAGCCATGCCCGCTGGATGCAGAGGCCCAGCTGTGTGTCCTCCCCTCCTTTCCCCCAATACCTGTCCTCTCTCTGCCAACCTGACCAGGTGTGTTCTGGTTTCCAGGTGAGACAGGTGAAGTGAGCCTCTACCAGGGCTGTGCCCTGAAAGTGTCTGTTCCCTTCTGTTCCTCTCAGGCCCTCCGGCACCTCCCCAAGATGTCACTGTCCAAGCAGGGGCCATGGCATCCACCATCCAGGTCTCCTGGAAGCCGCCGATGCTGACCCCCACTGGACTGTCCAATGGGGCGAACGTCACCGGCTATGGCGTATATGCCAAGGGGCAGAGGGTGAGTTCATGGGGTGGTGCCATCTCACAGGCCCAGCTCATGCAGGGGTCACTTCTCGAGGGGAGTTTCCTCAGCCCCCCAGGCCCCTCAGCACTGCCCTGGGCCCTGCCCAAGTCAGTGTGGGGAACACCCATGCCTTGCTCTCTCTTCCTGGGTCAGCTTCCTCTCCATCCCCCTCCCCTCACGATGACCTGCTCCACTCAGTATTCAAAGGCCACCTCTGGGTCCTCACTGCCCATGCCTGGCTCCCCAGTGTTGACAGGCGCCTGCCAGGCTGAGGCTGAGGCCAGAGGCCCAGCCTCCCTGAGAATCTAGCCCAGCTGGCACATCAGGCCTGGCTCTGAGGAGCAGGTGTGTGCTGGGGCCAGAGCCTGCGGAAGCTTCTGTCCCCTGACCCTGTCCCGGCCCTCCTCTGTCAGGAGCAGGATGAGGGACAACACCCGGGTGACTAGAGTGTGAGAGCTAAGTCCTCCACTGGTGGCTTGTTCTCCCACCGCTCCCTCCACGCAGGCCCCCTCCCCGCCAGAGCAGCCTCCTGCAGAAGAGGTCCAGCCCTGCCGTCTGTAGCGGGAGGCTGTGTGTTCCCTCTGCCCACACCCCGCCCTTTGGCTTTGGCAATAAGAAGGCTGGTTGGGGCATCCTTCCATGGCCCCTGCCTCCGGTTCTGAACTGGTTCAGAGATGGAGGAAGAAAGTCCTGCCTCGTTGGCCCTATGGCCTCTGGCCCTGGACCAAGTGTCCCCTCCTCTGCCTTCTGAGGCCTTCTGGGCTCAGCTGGGGGTGGCCTTCTCTGTCCGCAGGTGGCTGAGGTCATCTTCCCAACGGCAGACAGCACCGCAGTGGAGCTTGTGCGCCTGCGGAGCTTGGAGGCCAAGGCCGTGACAGTGCGGACCCTCTCTGCCCAGGGCGAGTCCGTGGACTCTGTGTTTGCTGCCATCCCCCTCGACCTCCTGGTGCCTCCAACCCCCCACCCGAGAGCTACGCCCCCACCGAAGCCATTACTAAGTGCTCCCGACACCAAAGACAAGCCCCTGTGTCCCCACACCAAGGTGGAGGAGTCCTGGGAGCAGAGCCGCGCCCCCGCCCCGGTGCACGGGCACATGCTGGAGCCGCCTGACCTGCAAGGCTCCGGCCCTGGGCGGAGGTCGCCTTCTCCCAGCCGCATCCTCCCGCAGCCGCAGGGGGCCCCGGTGTCCACCACCGTTGCCAAGGCCATGGCCCGTGAGGCTGCGCAGAGGGTGGCCGAGAGCAGCAGGGTAAGTGGGGTCTGCTGGCTTGTCCCTCTGCTCCCGAAGTGCATTTCGTCCAGACTGCAGGCAGAGACAGCGAGGCCAGGAGTGCCCAGAGCCTGGCCACAGGTGCAGGAGCCCCACCCCTGCTCCTCGCCCAGGCCCTACCCTGCCCCGTCAGCCTCCGGGCATCTGTGCCTGATCCTCAGTCACAGTGTGTTACAGTGTAGCCATGGATCACCAGGTGCCAGGCGCCTGTCTGTCCGATAAAGAGCCTCTGACAGACCCAGACAGGCTTGGTTCTGGGTTAGGGGCTTCGACTGCTCGCTGGACACAGCTGGGGCCCTGTTGTCCAACTGGGTGCTCCCTGGTCTTGACCACTTCAGAGTCCCAGGTGTGTGTGCGTGTGTGCACACACCTATAAGTGTGTGGGCTCCACACGGGTGTGTGTCTGCATGCCCAGTGGACAGGCACATGGATGCACCTGTGCGTGGGCACATTTGCTTGCACCTCTAGGTGTAGTCTGGGCCATGGGGTACTGGGCTGTGGCTGGTCCGTGTTCCACATGATGTGCACCAGGACACATGACCTCAGGTGGCAGCCACCTCTCCCAGGCACCACCTACCAGAGTCCCAGTGTTTGGGGTGATCCCCACTTTCTCTTTCAAGGAGGAAGGGGGGCCATGGGCAGGCCTCGACATTGCCAGGTGGGCCTACGTGACCCTGGGTGTTGGTGCCTGTGGTGGGACACACCCCTGTAGCCCACCTCTGGGCGGCCCCAGGTCAGAGAGCCCAGGAAGGGCCAGTCCCCAGGTCAGCACCAAGCATTGAAGGTGAGCCAGGGAGCTCACTTCCAGGGCACAGCGCCCAGAGGCAGCCTGAGGGCAAAGGCCCCCCACCGGTGCCTTAGCTGGGAGAGCACAGGAATCCAGACTGTCCTGGGGACACTCCTGAGTGTTCTACGGCTGCGGAGGGGAGGGCGTCCTCGGGGCACCGGGCGCAAGAGCCACCTGACGGGAGCTTTGGGCCAGGCTCCTGGGGGCGGTGCCAGTGCAGCAGCCTCAGCCCAGCCCGAGAGGCCCAGGGAGGCTCAGCAGCTGGGCCCATGGGCGGGCAACCACTCTAGGCTCCTGCCTTCCGAATGCGCCCGCGGGTCACAATAAGGCCAGCAGGGTGACCAGAGGAGGGTGGAGGGTCCTTGTTGGGTGCAGTCGCCCCAGCAGAGGGAGAGATGACTCTGGGGCCAGCTAGGTCCTTGGGGGAGACACCAAGAGGTGGACCCTGCAGCAGCTTTGGGGTGGTTGGCCCAGGTCCTTGGTGGGTTTGTCTTCGGGTGGCTACAGGGTATGCGGCATGGAAGGCGTGTCCCTGGGAGGCACCCACATGACACAGAAGCCGCCTTGGACAACTTTAATCACTGGGTCCAGCCCTCATGACAGCCCCAGCCCATCTTTGTCCCCTTCTCTTTCCAAGCTAGAGAAAAGGAGCCTCCTCCCTGAGCGGAGCAGCCTGGGGCGCTGTGCCAGCTCCGACGAGGAGGACGGCTTCGCCTCCCCCGAGCTCAAGCGGAGAGGCGCCTCCGTGGACGACTTCCTCAAGGGCTCAGAGCTGGGCAAGCCGGTGAGCCTGGGCAGCTGCTGGGGGTGTCAGGGACTGGGGACCTGCCCTACGGCCCCCCGGGAAAGGGGCCATGCCAGCCTGCAAGGCAGCAGGCCACCAGGGTTTGAGTGAGGACAACTCATTCCAGGACAATTTCAAAAGCCTGAATAGGAGGCCCTGCCCTGCCCCGTCCCTCCCCTCCACCCACCCTGCTCGGGCCCCACCCCTGCTCCTCGCCCAGGCCCTACCCTGCCCCACCCCGTGCTGGAACCTGGTCCTGGGCAGTTTCCTGGGTCAGGCCAGGGCTGGACTGGTACCCAGCTGGTCTCGATGTAGACAAACCCTACTGTTTATGTTCATTTCTGTCCATTGGGCCATGTTGGCTGGACACCTGCTCCGTGCTGGGCACCATAGAGGATGAAAAACAAAACATTTGCCCCCCCACTCCCACCCCCGGGCCTATCGGGGTTCACCTCCAGCGTCTGACGCGCAGCCTTGAATAGGGTTCCCTGAAAGGTGCGAAAAGCCAGCCCCAGGTGACAGGAGGATTGGAATAGCCGACGGCCTGAGAACCCCAAGGCCCCGTGCCAGAGCCCACTCACTCGGAGGCTGGGGCACCAGGACCACCCACTGCCACAGTGAGGGGGCAGCAGGGCACCGTGTGCCCAGCCCAGCCTTGCTGCTCGCTGCTGGCTGTCAGCCAGGCACTGGCTTCTCATCTCACGTCTTTATCTACAGCCTTACAATCATGCTGTTTGCATTCGTTTAAGCAGAAGGAACAGGAGGCCCAGACTTCTACAATCACAGACCTTTAATCACTCTGTGTCCCGGGAGCCTGTGCAGCCGGGTGCAGGGCTGATGTGGCCTCAGTGGCAAAGGGGCTCTGCTTAGATATTTCACTCTCCTGATCTTTCTCCTGTAGTTACCAAGTAGCTGCCATAGCTCCATCAATTACACCCTCATTTGGTGACACCCCAAGCAGGAAGGAAAGGATAGATGGCCAGGAGACTTCCCACTACATCTTACTGAGTAGACTGAGGTCACAGGCCCTCCACCCCAGGACTAGAAGTCCTCGGAGCAGCTTAACAGTGACGATCCAGGGGAAAGTCAGACTTACTGTTGGCCATTGCATTGACCACGTCCAGCCTCACCCCTCACTTCTAAGGAGCAGCACATCACCAACCCCTACAGGCCCTAGCTGTGAGCCCCACAGAGGTGACAAAGGAGGGAGGGCCCACAGGGGACCTGGGCCTGCTGCAGGGGTCCTGGCATGAGAGTCCACCCATCAGCACCCCCCTCTGGCCTGCAGCCCCCTTGTTGCCATGGAGACGAGTACCCCACGGAGAGCAGCCGGGGCTCCGACCTCTCGGACATCATGGAGGAGGATGAGGAGGAGCTGTCCTCGGAGATGCAGCTGGAGGACGGGGGCAGGAGGCGGCCCAGCGGCACCTCCCATAATGCGCTCAAGGTGAGTGGGGGAGCGGAGGGGGCACGGCACCCTCCTGCAGTCCCAGGTGGCTCACCTTGTCCCCTTGCTGGTCGTCGGGCTGGCCCTGGGCCCTTGCCCTGCACCAGAGCCCACGAATATGGACTTGCTTCTTCCCACTGTGGAATTTTTGATCCAGGAGGTACCTGGAGCTCTGTCCCCTTTGCCAAGAGGTCTTGGTACAGGAGTTTGGGGGTCCACTTGGCAGCCCTCGGGGCACCCAGAGCTGAGCCAGGAGTGGGATCAGGAGGAACAGAGCAGAACAGGACGACTTCCGGCTGGTCCACAGAGAACCAGAATCCACTCAAGAACCCCCTCGGGGTCAGCGCCGGGGCAGGGGCAGTGTGGCTGGGCGCAGAGCCACCAGCGGGGAACCGGGTGGGTCCCGTGTGGAGGCCAGGGAAGGGCTGGTCTGGGCATGGCCCTGGGGCCCATCACAGAAGGCCCCAAGGACAGGTGAGGCTCCCTTGGGAGGGAGCAGGGATCAGCCCCTGTGGGAGGCCATCGGGGAGGCACAGGGAGGCTGCTCCAGGAGGTTCCAGCCCGTGATGCCTGGTTCACGCCGTCTGCCCCAGCTGGGCAGGTGTTTGCCACCACTGCTGCTGCTGGGCCCGAGTTCTGGCTCATGCACGGTGTCCACTGGGCAGTGCAGGCGGACAGCCTGGGCCTGGGGCTCCACCCCAGGTGGGAGGCAGGGCAGGTGCGGCTATGCTCTGGCAGCTCCTGGCCCAGGTCAGGTGGCTGTGGGACCGCTGGGGTGTCAAGGATGGAAAGGGCCTTGCCCAGGCCACAGCCACCTTCCTCCAGGTGCACAGGCCCTGCACAGTGGGTGGCGGGCAGAAGGCGACGTCCAACCCAGCTGCCCACTTGACAGGTTCTCGTGCAGACAAGACCAGCTGACACTCTCCCTCGAAGGTCCCTGGGGGATGTCAGACCCCTGTGCTGCTCCTGCATGGTGGTGGCCCGTGGGGTTCCCAGCACCCAACCCCACCCCCAGCCCGGGGCCAACCTGCAGCAGGATTCACACTGGCCTTCCCATGGGCGCACCTCCCGGCTGTCCAGTCACCCACACACCCAGAGCAGGACCCATTGGGAGCACCTGGAGGTGGCTGGGGAGGTGTGTCCCTGTCCCACACCTCCAAGAGGCCTCTCCTGTTGGTGCAGAGGGTGCTGGGAGGCTTCTCCCTCTAGAGGGCCCAGAGAGGTCCTCATAGAGCCATGGCCAGGGCTTCAGGGCAGTGTCACAGTGGGGGGGGTGGCAGGGTGGCCACAGGCTTGCTACATGTGCCTATTCCATGACGGTCCTCCTTCTGAAAAGGTTTGGATTTCTGGATTCTCTTTGGAAACTGCCAGATAGGGTTGGAGATCTGGACATAGGGGCTCATGGTTCCACGTGGCAGTGAGTGGCTGCTGCCCAGCCAGGCTTCCTGACGAGGTCAGGCCTATGTCTGTCCCCTGCCTGAGCCACACTCACTCATCCCACTCCCTGGTGGCCTGGAGGTCACTGGTGACCTCCCTGTACTCCGAGGTGGCCCCTCACCCTGCTGCTTGTCACAGGCATATGGCATCAGCAAAGGGCAGAAGCAGAGTATGCCCAACCACCTGGCGGGCAGCGGTGCCTGGCATGGTTGACCTCCTGCCAGGAACATCCCACCATGCCTCAGCTCAAGGGCCCACAGCCCAGTGGGGCACAGGCCTCGTCTGTGCACCCCAGAGCCTTATGGCAGGGGAGTCCAGGGCACCTGTGCCGCAGGGCCAGGCGGGCAGCCAGTGCAGAGATAGGTAGCAGCGTTCCCAGCAGCAGGACGTGTAGGCCTTCCAGCAGGGCACAAGGCAAGGGCCCTACCCCCAGCAGAGAGAAGAAGTCTGTAGACATGGAGCCTGCGTCCTGCTAGTGCTTGGGAGTAGCCCCTGGGTGTGGGGATTCAAGCACAGCAAGAGGGCCCCTGTCCTCTGCAGTGACTGGGCATAAGGCCTGTGCCTGGCCTGTTCCTAGCCACAGAGAGGGTGTAAGCCCCCAGGAGCCTGACCTCACAAGCTTTCGCTTGAGCTGCCTTTGGGGAGGAGGGGCGGTCCAACTGCCAGGAAGGAAGGCAGGGGGCAGCCGGGAGCTGTGGCGCATGGGGCGCTGAGCTGCCTCTGGGTGTGCTGAGCCATCTCTGGGTATACTGATCCACCTCTGGGCATGCTCAGCACCTGCTGCATCTTCCTGGCGTCTTTGAGGACACAGCTGCAGGCAGTGGGCACAGGTCTCCCAACACTCTGGGCACCTACCATGTAGAACACAGCTCAGGGGCTGAGAGTACCCTGCCTGCGCCTCCGCGTCTGGGCTGTCACCTCTCTCCTGGTTCACCTGCATGGCATCTGCTCCCGATGGCCTGCTGGCTTTCCCGTGCATTGTCCCTGCCTTTGCTGGGCATAGACACCACCGCTGTTCCACTACAGAGCCCGCGGGCGTGCGCCCCACCTCGCCAAGACTAACTGTGTATTTTTTCTCCCTCCGGCCTCGCCCGTGTTTGCCGCTGGCCACTCGCCCTGCCCTTAGGAGTGCTATAAGCCCAGGAGCCCGGAAGGCGCCTGCCCGGGACAGCCCGAGTTCCCCCAGCAGCCCCACCGCAGTAAGAGGCTATGCAGTATCCCTGAGGTAGCCGAGGAGGACGCAGAGCTCGGGGAGCCGCTGCTGTGGCAGGGCTCAGGGGCACCCAGGGCCAGAGCCCTGCTGGCCATGGTGCCAGGGCCCATCCCACCCTGCTGGGAGCACTCGGCTCCGCAGGCCTCCTGGCTCCCTGCCAAGCACAGAGCCCCCATGGAGGACCTCCTTCTGGAAGACAGAGGCTGCCGGCTTAGCCGCTGGGCCACCCGGAGCCCGGACAGCGGCCTGGACTGCGGCAGTGAGGAAGAAGAGTCTCGGTTTAGTTTCAGGAACACCACAGCCCAGTGCAGCCCAGGCCCCGGTCACTGTCCCTGTAGGAGAAGCCCGAGGCCTCTACTGGCCCGGCGGCGGACACTGACCCGGCAGAGCAGCATTGAAGAGGACTTTGGGGAACAGGTGGACCCCAGTGACGTCGCCAGGAGCGATGATGCCCTGCCCCGCCCGGAGAGGTCCGTGCCCAGGCAGCACAGCTGGGACGAGGCCGCGGAGCACGAAGACTCTCGGGGTGTCTGGAGGAGTGGCCTGGCCGTGCCCGACAGCAGGGCGGCTGTCCAGCACGCACGGCCTCCCCCCAGAGTGGCCGACGGCCCTGTGGTGTGTGAAGTCAACGTCTTTCCACGTGCGCTTGCCAAACCAATCCTGTTCATTCCCCGTTGGCTTTTCGTTTGGTTCTAATTTGGGGTGTCCATCCTGGGGTCTCTCGGCCGCTCTCCTTGATTGTCCCTGCACCTTTGATTTATTAAGTCCCATCGCTTCCGATCGCTTGACCATGCCGAAGATTTCTTTGCTTTGCTTTAGAGTAACGATTCCTTCCTGGAATCAGAGATGATCACGGCTGTGATTAAAGGACAACTGAATCTAAATTTTAATTAAGGGTTAGCTGAACTATGTCCAAAAGTTTGCACATTTTTTTTTCCATAATGATTTTTAGGGACTTATTTATGGCTCCACATATTGCTGAAGGATTTTTTTTTTCTTTTTTGGGGGGAGGGGTTTAGTTGTTTTTTGGCCTTCATCCATGTTTTTTCTAAATGAGAACAGTTATCAAAGCAACTCATTTCTGCATATTATTTCTAAGTTTTATTTTGCTTTGTCTCCTCGGGAGCCCGCCAGTTTCCATCACTAGCCATGGACGCGTCCCCGCCCTGGGGCCTGGCCTTGCTCGTTGGCTTCTGGATTAGGAGTCCACTCAAGGCTTTCCTCCGTCTCTGTTCAGAGCCCTGGCTCCCGTCATGCTGAACGTCCCTTGGGCGCGTGGAGGGCCATCTGCATGGCGCCAGGCCTGGGTCTGAGATACCCACGCTGGGGCCCCACCCTCAACGCTGCAGCAGCAAGGAGCAGACCATCCCCTCCTCCTGTCCCCAGAGGCCTCTCTGCCCTTCCCGGAGGGCTCAGCTTTGCGGGGTTTCCTCCGACCACCTCTAACTCTAGTCCAAGTTGGAGGTGGGCCTCCCTGGGAAGGGCACCTCTTCGGGGCAGCGTAGTTCTCCAGACTGGGGCCAACCCTGACCGTGAGTTTCCAGTCCCAACACAGAAGCCTCCGTCTGAGTTTTCGGAAACCTCACTTGCGACGTCTACCCAGGTGGGACGTTTGGAACCGCAGAGCTTTCCTGCTTGTGTGGCAGCCTGGGGCAGGTGTGTGGAGGCAGCCGAGGCTGCTCATGGTGGAAGGCGTCAGTGTCCTGAAAGCCACTGTCATTAGGTCCGAAACACGTGGCTTCAGCGGCAGTAGAGCAACGGACCCTGCCCAGGGCTCATTTTGCCCCACCCACTGTGGTGCTTCAGATGCGACTCTGGTGCAGGGGAGGGGCCTGGCGGCCAGCCTGTTTCCTCCTGGGCCTTCAGCTAACCTTTCAGTTAAAAGCTAAGTTTAGTTGCCTTTAGAGCTTCTGCTTCGGATTTGATTGATTTGGCTGATCGCTTTCCCCCTGCCACACTGGCAAGACTGACAGCCTTGTTGTTTTGTCTCCAGATTCTAGGAAACCCAGCATCTGCCGGACGTGTGGACAGGGCAGATCATGTGGGCAGGAGGTTTTCCCACGGTGGCACTGGTCCTCAGAGGCCCCGGCCGACGGTGGTCCCATCTATTGGTTAGTGGCTTGATGGCTGTCTCTCTGTCCCTCCCTCTCCCCACCACATGCACCTACTGGGTCTCCTATACGAACATTTCACATAATATTCAGGGGGACATTTTTAACCAAACACAGAGAACGCTTGGTCATCCATGGCAAAGGGAGGTAGGCATGGCGCACGAGGGCAGCAAACCCTCTGCACATTCTCAGAGCTCCTGCCAGCCTCGGGGTTACACTAGCCTCTCCCTGCTGACAGTCTCCTGCGGGCTTTCCAGGTGGCCTTGGAGGGACTGAGGGCAGCGGCTCTCAGGACGCTCAGGGACAAGGCTGAGACAGAGGCAGAGCTGGGGAGGTGGTGCACCCCACACACCTGCAGTGGCAGAGATGTCTGGGTGCATAAGATGCGCCAGCAGCGGGCATAAGCTTGGGGATAAGAGGCCAAGTGTGACCCCAGGTGTGCTCCCACCTCCCTAGGCCACCACCCTTCCCCACTGGTCCATCCCCGCTCTCTTATCTCCTGCTTGATGGCCTCCATACATACAGGTTCGAGGGCACAAGGGCCAGAGGAAGCAGGCAAATGGGGTCCTTACCTGCATGGGGGTCAGACAGTGGCCCCAGGGCGAGGGGCCTACCATACTTCCTTCAACCCTTGATTGCTCAGTTCTTGTGAAAATACTACAGAAATCTTTAGTCCAAGGCCATGGGCTTTCTTTTTTAGAGGAAAAGAAGACATTAGGTTTGTATGCTGCGTGCTTCCTGAGTATATTTTTAAGGGGCAACAAATTGACAATTGATTGATAATATCAGGGCTTTCGGAATTCCCTTTCCCCAAATTAAGACAAATGAACACTGTGTGTCGTGGCTTAACAAGACCATTGCCTGACTCCACACCTAAGCATCCTGAGCCATCTGATGAGGCTCTCCACAACGCCCGGTGGATGTTTAAAAGATGACAGAGAACAAAACAACTAAACAAAAACAATGACAAAAAATAGATGATTTGGGGACCCTAAAAGGCCCCTCATGTGAGTCAGGATGCCCACTGCATTTGAAGTCCAGGCTCCTGCAGCCTCAGCCCATGCAAATTTTAAATTAGATTTTTTTGCTGGTGAAGAAGCCAGCTCACTTGGTCATCTCCCTGTCACCTGTCTTGTCCTTTCTGCACACCTGGGTCCTCCAGTCACACTTCCCTTGTCATGTGCTGGGGACAGCAGTCGGCCAGCTTTTCCCAGCCCTCCTTCCTGGCGGCTGATCTCGGTGTCTGATTTGTTCTCCTGCTGATGTTCTGAGACCTTCTCATGAGATCGTGCTCAGGACAGCGCTGGCCCTCAGTGCCTTGTCTCCCTGTCTGACTGTCCATCTCTAACCCCGTCTGTCTGTGTCCAGTACCGATGCTCATCTGGCGGTGACTTGGGTATCCAGGATGTGCATAGGTTATGTGCAAGCACAGCCTCTGCTGATGGGGACCTGAGTGGACTTCCATGTCGCAGGACGGTCCTGGGGCCAGTTCCCTGCAGACACGAGTGGATACCTGCATACCCAGTGACCTCTAGTGAGACATATGCATACCCAGTAATGCTTCAGAAAGGATTGAGTTTAAAAGCTGGGAGGGGGGCAGAGCTGAACCCCGTTGGGCTGGGGAATTGCCCCGACACAACGAGGAATGCACTTGCTGCCCGCTGTCCACTCAGTGAAGTGAGCAGCTGGGCTCCCTACACCAAGCTCTGACGAAGCTCTGGATGTGTTGTAAGCTCTGTGCACTAGCCTCATGGCCCGTGGAGCATGCTGCCCCGCAGGGTTCGCCACTGATACACATGTGACCACCCACCCGCTCTGGCCGTCCTCTCCGGTGGAGCCACCCAGGTGGCCCCTTGATCTCACTGCTTCCACACCAGTGTGCTGGCCATAGTGAGGCTGTGTGGTAGAGCCACCGCCTCTGCCATGCCTCTGGACGTCCCCAGGTCCCTTGCTGCCTCCATGTTGAGCCCAGAATATTTTTCAAAGGACAGGAGCCAGGGCCTGGCCACCCCACCCTGGCTGAGCCCCACATCACGTGTGGTCGTGTCCCGAGTTGCAGAGTGGTCACCGGCCTCTGCTTTACCCCCACATGCCCCCAGATGAGTATGCCGGGCGCGACCGCCTCTCTCCAGACTTCTACGAGGAGTCGGAGACGGACCCTGGAGCCGAGGAGCCCCCAGCCCGCATCTTTGTGGCTCTGTTTGACTATGACCCACTCACCATGTCCCCGAACCCTGACGCTGCAGAGGAGGAACTTCCCTTCAAGGAAGGACAGATCATCAAGGTGGGGAGTCTGCTGGCTGCACAGTTGGGTGCTGCTGAGGTGGGCGTGGCCCAGAGCCAGCCATGAGCTGACCAGACCTGGGCAGTGGCCTTTGGACTCTTTGGGGCCACTGGAAGGCTGGCCGGCCTGTGGCAGCCTTGCACATTGGGCAGGCCCTGTCTGCTTCACCTGGGCAGAGGGGACGGCCCCACTAGTTGCCTTGGAGGAGTGCATGTGCTGGTGCACGCGGGGTTTTCCAGGCTGCCTGCCTGCTGGGGGCTAGTCTGAGCCCACATTTAGTTTAGATGACACTCGAAACCAGAATAAAAGTATCACTGGGTCTTTTATTAGACTGATCAATAGAGTCAAAACAACATGAAGCACTCACCAGCGCCTGCTACTGGTGGTTCCCACACACACCAGCCTCCGGCGCCTGAGCTATAGATCCTCAGCCCAGGGCAGCTGAGAAACAAACCACAGGCCCAAAGTTTGGGACTTTGCAGTACACAAGGCCTAACCCACGGGCAGAGCAGTGGGAGGGAGGGGGAGGAGGCCGAGGCAGGCAGAGGACCCGCCCCAGCACACAGACGCAGGGTGTGCCATTCCCACTCCCGTTCTAGAGAAGAGGAGGGGAGCAGTGTGGATCTGCAGGACCAGTGGGTGGGGAGGGCCCTGCTTACCCACCTCAGAAGGTGGTTGGAAGGCCTGGCGCCTGGCTCCACCCCTCCCTGGTCCTTCCACGCAGAAGGCCTCCAGTGCACACTCCCCCGGGGGGCTTAGGCGCTGTCCAAACCTGACTCACTCCCTGGAGGGGACACTGTGTCTGGGGTCCAGCGTGTGTGTGTGGGGTTGGCATAGGTGACGTGGTGCGGGGGCTGGGGCGTTTCTGGGCCACCCCCACGGTGCTCTGCCTCTCCACGCTCCAGGTCTACGGAGACAAAGACGCAGATGGCTTCTACCGCGGGGAGACCTGCGCCCGGCTCGGCCTCATTCCCTGCAACATGGTCTCCGAGATCCAAGCTGATGATGAGGAGATGACTGACCAGCTGCTAAGACAAGGCTTCCTGCCCTTGAGCACGCCTGTGGAGAAAATAGGTGAGCGTGGCCCTGTATGGCCTCAGGCTAGGGGCAGCCACGCACCACTGGACGTGCCCAGGCCTTGGGGCCATCATGCTGATTTTTCTTGGGCAGAACCCACTCTACAAACCAGGGTCGCAGTAGTGCTGCCTGCTCGAGGGACACACATGCTCCCCAATACCTGTGCACACACAGGTGGCCCTCTGGAGAGGAAGTGCACTCTGCCGGCTGCTCCCCTCCCTCCCCCTGTGGTCTTATGCCTGTAAAGCTCAGAGCCTGTGGTATTCTTCTCAGCAGCCCAGGACCCCATGAAAGCTCGTGTTCACAGGTCACACCACGAAGCAGAGGAGCAGCTGTTCTAGGTGGGGCACCAGGGTCAGCCTGTCCACGGTGCATTTCTAAGCACAGGGAGCCTGGGCCTCTCATCCTCAGCTGGGTTTGCTCATCCAAAGGCCTGTGAGGGACTTGCCCATCAGTCTGGGCACACCTCCCTCCTCCCTGCCTGGGAGCCAGGCTGCAGCAGCATAGAGGAGTGGGCAAGGCTACGGCCAGCAAGTGGGAGGGCAGCGCACCATGCTCTGTCCTCTTCCCCTGCTTGAAAGGCCTCACTTGGTCCACACAGCTGTGGAGAGAAAGGTCCATTTGATGCCATATGAATTTAAAGTTTGAAAATTCACAACTTCTGAATTAACTTCTAAATCAGAATTCAATGGTCCAAAGATCATACATAATTTTAAGGATGATCACAAAATTAATGCCAATAAAGGTTGAATCTATTTTATTTTTTAATAGACTCATGGCCTCAAGATGGCCCCCCCCCAATATTTGAGGCTGAGCGTGAGGCCCGGGCTCCCTCTCAGGGTCGTGGTCTTCTTCCCCGGCTTATCCATGACTCTGGCAGAGACAGGACGGCCCCACCCTCCCCGAGCCAGTCTAGCAGGCGCTCTGTGGAGGGACTCACTTGGTCTGTGACGTCATGATGTCAGACGTCTCTCTGTCTTTTCCCTTCTCCCACATGCTGCTGGACAAGGGAACCGAGCCGAGATGTACACTGGCCCAGTGACACTGGCAAAGCCACCCTTGGAGGACGGCCAACTTCTAACTTGGTTGTGCTGAGCTTGTGGGTCTTCCCCAGAGCAGCCTCCAGCCTTCCCTCTGCCCGCTTAGCCTCCCCATCCTGAGCTGGCCATGACACTGGACTCACTCCCAAGGTGGCTCCTGCCAGGAGCACCCACCCTAGAGCCAAAGTAGAAGGAGTGGGTCCAGGACAAGGGTGGCATGCTGGACTGCTTGAAGAGGACAGTGCCAGGACTGGGCCCCAGAGGGTGTGGTCCCATGGGCCAGTGAGATGTGGGGACACACCTGCTAAGATGCCCTCCCGACACTGCGGAACATTGTGCTAGCAGGTGTTCTGAGGTGACATCGTGACAGGTTTTTTCTTCCTCTGTGGCTTGCAGAGAGAAGTAGAAGAAGCAGCAGGCAGCGCCCCGTGTCCACAAGAAGAGTGGTGGCTCTGTACGACTATGACCCCCGTGAGAGCTCGCCCAACGTGGATGTTGAGGTAGGGCCAGCACCATGCACAGGGTCAGGAGGTCACCTGCCCCTCCAACAGGGGCACCAGCCACAGACTTCCATGTCTGCAAGAGCCACCAAAGGGCAACCAAGACAGATGGGCAAATGTAGGGACAACAGGCAAGAGAAGCCACGATGTTCTTAAGGAAAACATACAGCAAACCCCACAGTTATGGCAGACCCCATTGACACAGTAGCCCCTACAGACAGAGTGTCCCATAGCCATAATAGGCTCTAGAGCCACAGCAGGCCACAATAGACCCCTGTAGGCCTGGAAGCCTCATAGCCGCAGCAGACTCCATAATCACTGTAGCTCCATAGGCACCTTAGCTCCATGACCACAGAAGCCAACATAGATGATCAGCTAACTCCATCACCACAGGTTCCCCAATGAGAGATGTCAGAATTCATAGCCACAACACCCCCAACCCACTGTAGTGCCCATAGCCACAACAGACTGGATGGACACAGCAGACCCTGTAGACAAATAGCCCAGAAGGTCACTAGAGCCCCTGTAGATCCCATAACCACAGCAGACCCTCTAGCCACAGCAGCCCCCGTAGCATCAGTAACTCAATAACCACAGTGGCCTCAGAGCCACAGCAGACCCCATGGCCAAATAGTCCACAAGGCCACAGTAACTTGCAAGGCTACAAGGCTACCATAGCTGTCATAGCCACAGCAGACCCCATAGCATGGTAGTCCCCATAGCCATGGTAGCCCACTAAGCACAGTTGCCCCATAGCCACAGCAGTTTACAAGGCCACTCTAGTCCCCTAGCCTCTGCAAACTCCATAGCCACAGTAGCCCTTATAGTCACCATAGCCCCTATAACCACAGTAGGCCCCATAACCATAATAGCCCCTATAACTACAGTCGCCCCCATAGACGCACAAGACCCCCAGGACACTGTCGTCCTCCATAGCCACCATAGTCCTTCCTGACCCTAGCAGCCCCAGGTTACAGCAGACCCCTTCGCTCATGCTCAGCTGTGGTCCACAGGGAATTCCGGGGGGTAATCAGTGCCCGTGTTTCACAGTGCTGTGCCCAGTGCAGGGTAAAAGCCAGTGTGTGGCTCCACCCACCTGGCACAGCCCTGCTGTGTGCCCCTGTTAAGAGCCACATTCACAGTGATGGACGCCACAGAACTCCTCTGTCAGGGTGCCAGGTGTGTGCACCGCGCTTCCTCACAGGTGTGAGTGCAGCAGCACGCCTGGCCCGAGTGGGCCTGGGGGCACAGCGGCTCCTGGCATTCGCTGGAGGTGCTGGAGTGAAGGGGGCTGCTCTGCTTGACAAACCCCAGCCCAGGGCCACGTACCCCTGTGCCATCCCCAAATGGCAATTTAGGGTGTACATTTCCTTTAGGAAAGAAAGAAAAAGTGCACGTGTCCATTGAGCTGAGGCCAAGCCACGGGAAAGCACATCCTGTGGGATCTGCCCTGCCAAGGAAGCTCAGGCCCAGGTCCCGCCCCACACCAGGCACAGCCTGATTCCTCACCTTCGTGTTTAGAAGTCGAATCTTTATGTATTTACTCATTTTTGGTATCTCCTACTGGGCTTGTCCCTCTGGTCCCCATTTCTGGGGTCTGAACATGTGAGACGGTTGATTCCTAAGGACAGGGGCCTGTGACCAGCATGTTTGTCTCTGGGCTGATGCACACAGGCACTGAGTTCCGTCCGTCATGGAGCAGGAGTCTTGATGCTCAGCGAAGTGTCTGTGTGGCCACCCTTGCTCACAGGAGTGCCCCCACAATCAGTCCTCAGGGCCATATGGTCAGCTTTAAAGCTGTATCACCAGTGGGGAAGGAAGTGCTCTTGAAAGTCATCCAGGAACCAAAGCCCTGCAGACATTTCTTTCTAGGTGGACATCATCCTGAGGTGTAGAACTTTCTAGAAGACTGAGCAGGAGCCTCCATTAGCTTTGTACTTGGCTTCCTTGTGTGATTGAAGGATGGTTCTCGGTAATACGAGCCACTTGTTTTCAAAAGCAACTTCCTGTAACAAGATGCTGTGCATTTTATGTTCTCTCTGTAGGCTGAACTTACGTTTTGCACGGGAGATATTATCACTGTTTTTGGTGAAATCGATGAAGATGGATTTTATTATGTAAGTGTTTCTAATCAAGAAGCACCACCTCTGGGCCGGGGTTGTGGCTCAGTGGTAGAGCGTTTGTCTAGCACATGTGAGGCCCTGGGTTCAATTCTCAGCACTGCATAAAAAAAGAAAGATATCTTGTCCATCTACAACTTTAAAAGAAGCACCTCCTCATTCACTTTGTGCCTCTTACAGCCTGTCTTCTCTTTCTCTCATCACTCTCAGGCAAGACGCATATGTTAGTGTTACTAGGAGGTGGAGAGCCTGCCCCACTTGCACATAACAGAAAAGCTGGTTCTTCACTGCTTCTTGTTAGCTAATAATGGTATTTTCCATGTATCTAAACGTAGACAAAATAAAAACATTCTATTTTCTGACATTTTAAAATTGTCACCATCCAAACATTTACATAATAATTTAGTTTTCTAGACTATTTATTTGTAGGTGGTAAATTAATCTTACAGAGAAAGTAAGAAACCAATAAGCAGAACTCAATAGGTGGATAAGATCCCCGAGGTCTTAGCGCTCCCCACCTGCCCTGCAGCTGACCTGTGGGCAGTCCAGATCCACAGGACCTCTCACGACCCGCACCCCCTACCCACCTCACATGCTGGGTGCCTTCCTTTCCTGCCCCTGTGGTTATTTCTCTAATATTCCCCCAGGGAGAGAAGGGAAGGGCTCCTAGGGGTAGGGTTCACCTCCTCCCTGAAGAGCCCATGGTCACCTAGGGGTATATGGTTATTTTTAAAGCATTGGATTTGATCTTCTGGCATTTTCTTCACAAGTTATGTCTGTGCTCCCTCTGCTGTGGCCTTTATTTTCAGGATTATTCTAGAGTTACTGATTGAGTTAAAGAGTTTCCCTTTTCTCTTTTCCTGGGCTCTGAAATAGATTGACATTGGAAGCACTATTACTAGAAGAAGATTAGATTCTGCTTAAGAATCTGTTAGGTCCACTGTCTCTTGAGGAATGTAGTTGTACAGGCTTCATTTGCTTTTCTGGTTCTTGAGCTGATTTTTAAAAAGGTATACACCTGTGTGAAAACACACCTTCCATTAGTTCAAGTGTGTGCACAGAATTGGACCTTCAAATGGCCTGTTGCTGTCAACTGTGTCCTTGCATGGACAGAAGCTTTCAACCTCCACACAGCATGGCCACTTCTGTCTCGTGAGGAAGCAGAGCTCCATGTTGTAGAGACCATCCTTTTCAGATGGGGTCTGGCTCTGTTGCCCATGCTGGCCTCGAGTGGTCCTCCTGCCTCAGTCCCCTCAGTGCTGGGGCCACCACACCGTTCTGAACTGGGTTTCGGAACTTGCAGGGCAGGTTGGTGTTTGGAGGGACTGGGAGAAGTGACAAGTAGGCTCCCAGCCCTATGTCCTCGTGTCCAGCGAGCAGCCGGACACATGCATAGGTATGTCAGAGGAGAAGGGCCTGGAAGGACGGGTGCCCCTCTGGAGCAGCCACCTGAGGAGATGCCTGCAGACTCCCGCCTGCCTTGTGGCCTGAGTCTGAGAACACATTCACCTGTGGGAAGGAGGGTAAGCCTGGCCCTCACTCTTCCTGCTCTGCTCCCGAGGGACACGTCCTCAGCCTGGGTCAGTGCTTCTGAGCTGTGGGACACTGCAGGCTCCTAAGGGGCCCCAGGGTCAGCCAGGCTGGAGACCCACTGAAGGAGACGAGCAGACCTGAGGGCCAGCTCAGGCCCGCTCCTCCAGACCTCTCTGGAAGATGACCCTGCATTGAGCTCTTGCTAAGGCTGTCCCTGGGAGAGGCCACTATTGACAAGGATGAACCCATCTTGCTGTCCTGTGGGCCGTGCTCCCCTCATGAGAGTAAGAAGGGGGTCTGGGGGCGAGGTGGTTCTTCTGACCTCCCCGCCTCTGCTTCCAGGGGGAGCTCAATGGGCTGAAAGGCCTGGTGCCTTCCAACTTCCTGGAGGAAGTGCCTGAGGACGTGGAAGTCTACCTCTCCGACGCCCCGTCCCCCTACTCTCAAGACGCACCCCCGCGCTCCAAGGCCAAAAGGGTAAGCACCCCCCCCAGCCTCTCGGGTCCCGCCCCTGCCATGTGCGGATGATCATTCATGTTTCTGCATCTTGGGCCAAAAGCACACGCCCTGAATGCCTTCCTCTCTGCCCCTCCATGGGGTCGGGCCTACCAGTGCTTGATCTTAAACCTTATTTCACACAAAAGACCCCTGAAGTTCCCAAGGGTCCACCTTGACCCCAGGACGACCCTGCCCGACACAACAGGTGCACATTTCAGTTGCTGGAGTGAGGCCGGGACAGGGACGGTTGCCCGCCCTGGTCAGGAGCCCAGGCCTCCTAGGGAGGGTCAGAGGCCACTGCAGCACATCCGCTCAGAGGCCGCATTCACATTTAGTGTCTCATCTTTACTTTACGCCATCACCGCGAGTTCTTATCTGTCATATTTTACGTCTATATCTTTATTTCTTTGTCATCTGCTTGGACACCGAAGAAGAGCGTTCATTTCACACCCTAATCAGGCATGTAGCCTTCACGTAAGTGAGCAGCCGGAGACACCTAGCGAGATGCCGACTTAAGCTACCTAACGGACCAGTGCGGTAGACTTAAGCTTCACTGTGGCCTAGAGAGGAAAGAAATATGTCTCAAAAAACACTGGACCTAAAGTGCTAGCACATCCCTCGGCCTCAGTTGTAAACAACTGAATTTGTAGTGAAACCAATCAGCTTTAATGATCATTTCCTGCTATTTTCATTAAGAGCATTTGAAAGGCCGACATTGGGAACATATTTCTTACAAGCCAGTTGTCTGTTTACATAGAATTCCAACGTCTGCTCTTCCTCAAAGCTGCATATTGCATTGTTAGCCACCCTTGGAAAAAGCACAAGCTACCCAGTACGTTTACCATAGGATTTTTCCTAAAAATAAAACCAAAAACAAACACCTCTAGTTCAAGATCAAGTAGATGAGTGGTGAACACACAGGGGTGGTGCGGGCTCCGGCCTGAGTGCCAGAGACCACACCTCCACTGAGGAGCAAGCGTCGGCACAGACGCAGCCAGGCCTGGGTACCAATGCAATACCACGTTCCAGGGACGTGCAGCTCCGAGGGTTGCACTGGGGGCAGGAGACGCAACTTCAGGTGTGCTTTGGGATGCATCCCTAGGTGTTTCCACGAGGGCTAGACCTTGATTCTGAATCCAAGCAAGCTTGAAGCCCTTGGCTCCTGTCCTTTTCCTGCTGCACAGTGAGGCCCACTTAGTGGGGTCTGCTCTGGAGAGGTTGGGGAAGGAGTCATGTAATCCCAGGCATGCACCCAGCCGCAGAAAGTCACAAGTCAAAGTTGCCACCTGGCACATTGAAACAAAGCCCCGCCCTCCTAAGCATGGTTGATAAGCACCTGGAGTCTATGGAAACACTCCACAGGCCACATGCCGGTGACAGACGTGCAATTATGTGCGAACAACAGAAGCATAAATAAGGGCCTTTAAGCTTTCTTTGATTGTAATTAAGGTTCATTTTAGTTTTTTTCCTTTCAACCAGTGTGCCATCTCCAATGTTTCTATAGTATCCTAACTAATCCAAGAACGCACTCAACAGCATCAGGGTTTTATATAACCAAGTAGTTTCCAAATGCACCCAAACTGCCTGTAAGAACTTTTGCTTTTAAGACGACTGATGGGTACTTGGCCAACTTTGCTATCAATCTCATTTAAAGCACTTCCCTGCTTTTAGTCTGAATTCGGTCAATGTGACCCAGCTTTGTTTACCAAAGCGGTGGCCACCCTCTCCTAGTGCAGACACGGGAGGCTAACCACGCCAGACCTGTTAGGGTGCCCTGGGAGTGGGCGTGTGCCACTCATTGCACATGCAGACTGAAGGCAGCGCGGGAGCCGGGGCGGCGCGCGGTACCGAGTGAATGGCTATTGTTGGCGCTCACACACTCAAACTGTTACAATGTACCTACTAGGTTCCTCCTGAGGGTTCAGGGCCAGCAAGGAGAGCTCCATCCCCCACAGCCCATCTCCATACGGGGTCACCTACGTCATCTATGGGTTCTGGTGGTCCCGGGAAAGGCAGGGAAATGTCCTCAAGAAAGAAAAGGGGGCTTCTCTCCAAAGGCAAGACGCTGCTGGCGAGGCTGGGCGCGGTGAAATGACCCCTGTGCTGTGGACAGCCGCCGAGTCCCTGTGATTCTCTTTGATTCCAAACTAGGGTTCTCACGACTCAAGCACTTCCTAAAACACAATCTCCTCCCGACACCAGTAGAGAAATGCTCTTGCACCACCACCACCCTAAGCCACTGCGGGAGCAGAGGGGCTGTCGCCCCCTTTCCCAGGGCTGGTGTCCTGCTGCCAAGCGGGGCCCTGGGCCGCCCGCTGCCCACCTGTAACCCAGCTCTGTGCATTTGTCATCTATCCTTAGAGGAACGAGGTCCAACTCTCCTCCCGTCCAAAGCGCTTTCCTCATAACCATAACTGTCACTTTCCTCGTCTGATTCGCCTTGATGTTCTGCCTTATGAACGCACATGGTCTGTATGTCCAATAAAACCGCAGTGTCTACTGGTCTGTGTTGTCGTTCCTGGTCTGCACCCCCACCCCGGCCTGATGGCCAGCCCCACAGCTGTGTAGCTTCAGGTCCTGTCCCAGGCTTTCCGGGCAAGCCCGAGAACACAACGCCCACCCAGCAGGCATCCCAGAGCCAGGCACCCCAGAGCCAGGGCGGGAAAGCACCTCTGTCTGGAAAAGCACTAGTGTCCGACCTGCCAGAAAGTGGCGATATTGGCTTCCAGTGTTATATTGTGGCATGTTTTTGTTATACTATTTGTCAAAAGGCCACACCCAAGCCCTCGACAGGGAGCTGCACACACATACAGCACCCACCCCATCCACTGGCCACACCAGAAACAGCCACCTTCCCCCTGCCCGGAATAGCCCGTCCCCCCATCATTGGCATTTCAACAAGACTTACCCAGTTGCTGGCAGGTGTATTTGATGGTTACTATTTTGTAATTCTTGTCCACTTGTAAATTGTTTTTACTCTTTATACATACTTTTCAGACTGCCTTTCTTTTGTAATTTATGGAAGGTTTATAAATGAATGACAAAGCTTTCCCCATTGTGTCTTCAAAACTATCTTGTAAATTGTAACATAATAGTATGTAGTAGATTTATTAAAAAGAAATTGCTCTATGCGTGGTAAAGTACTGTGTGGGTGTGTGCATGTGTACAGCTAGTGTAAAATATTTTCTAGAAATAAAATTTGTTATTTTGTACAAGGCTGTTGACCGTCTATGTGGACATTTCCCGTCATGGCACGACAGGCAAAGTCCTCTCTCCTCCATGCTCGGGAAGACGCTCGAGCCTCACCTTTTCTGGAACTTTCTTCCAAAGGTAACTTGACCTACATTTTGGGGTCCCCATCGAGTGCTGGGGCCCCCCATGGACAGGGGTCCCCATTGAGTGCTAGGGCCCTTTCCCTGGACAGGGGTCCTGGCACTGGTGCACCAAGGTACAGCCAGTTAGGTGGGAGATGCTCCTGCTGGCAGAGGGCCGAGGAGAAGCCAGTCAGTGGAGTCCTGCTGTTCCTTGGCCACTTGGGATTGGCCATTTGGGAGCTGAGCATGACAGGAGGCAACTTCCCATACACAGGATTTCCCCAAGAGCCCTACTTACTATTTTCCAGGTACAAGGAATGGTTTGAACTAAGAGCTGAAACCAGCACACGGTGGCCAGGCGCCGCCATATGGTTCCAAGGCAGTGAGGCCACATCTGATGCCCCAGAGGGCCACACAGTCTCCCATGACTGGCTGTGCCTTCCCTGGCTAGGGGCTCACTGGGTGGTGCCAGGACGGCTTCTGTCCGCTTCACCCACATAGCCAGGATGTGTTTCTCCAAATCTTTGGGGAGATTTTCAAATTCCCTAAAATACAAACCTGTGGTCAGGCGCCATGTCCCAGTGAGCAGGACTTGGCTTGCTCCTAGTGCCTGTGGGTGCCAGTGTCCTGCAGAGGTGGCTCTGCATGGACAGCTTCGACACATCCATCCCCTTCCCAGCCAACCTCAGGACCCTGTGCCAGCTGGGGTGTGTCCTGTTAGGGGAGCCGACCTGCACCATGCAGAGTGGAGAGCACGGCACGTTGGGCCTCCCGCGCTGCCCTGACTCCCAGCTCTGAAGCCATCGTGGGCTTCAGGACAGGCCTGCTGACCCCCGATCCCACCCCAGAGCAGAGTGCTTCTTCTACCCAGAATGCCCCCCCATTCTTGCCCTCGACCTTAAAGACAATTTTCACTGGATGACCAACAACTATATCAAAGTTCTGGTTAATTTTGTTATGACTTTCCTATCTACATTCAAGATTTTTAAATGAATTTGGGGGAAGTATTTTGAGTTACTGGGAATAGAACCCAGGCTTTGTGCATTCTAGGTGAGTGCTCTACCACAGAGCCATATCCCCAGCCCTTCTTAAATAGTACTTTGAGCCAGAGCCTCACTAAGTCACCCAGGCTGGCCTGGAACCTGTCATCCTGCCCAGCCCCGAGCTGCTTGGATTAGAGGAGCATCCTTCTCCTCCAAATTCCATTTTAAAATCACTTACCTAAAGATTTTCTATTCTATCGATGATACTTTCAAATAGTGCACTTACCTATCTACTTAAAGAAAACTCAAAACTCTTTCTTCAGTGTTATGCCCAGAGTTATTCCTTATTTTGAAAAGTAACTATACTTAAAAATAAAAAAACAACAACCCCGATATATCATCCTTCCAGAAACTTTTCACCTATCTCCTTCTGGGGCTCTGAGTGGGCGAGAAGGCTGGCAGGGGAGGGCTTGGCCTGGAAGCTCTGGTACCCAAGGGAAGCCTGCCTACAGGCTGCCACCCAGGACCAGACCTCAGCCCTTTGGCAGAGGGAAGGACAGACCACTGGTCAGCTATGCTGGAAGCCTCGTCAACATCAAGAGGAGGAAGACACACTTCTAAACATTTTCCATTTTGAAACAAGGTCCCCTTTGTGAGGAATGCAGCTGACCATGGGGCTGGTGGCTTGTGAGCCCTCGCAGGCTGCTCCTGTGGGCTGGGTTCTCGCCGCTTCCTGCAGCTGCTACACTGTGGTAAAGAGGGCCTGGGTCACCAGAATGAGATCTTAGGACAAAAACAGATGAATCCAAAGAAAGATGGTGAGTCAAGTGTGGAAATGAAATTAATATAAGAATGCAAAATAAATGTAGTCCAGGTGTGAAGCCCTCCCTGGGTGGAGCTTTCCACCTGTCCTCCTTCGGAAGCCCCGTGCAAGCACATCAGCCTGAGCTGGGAAGTAGCAAATGCCAAGGTAGCAGATCTGAAGGTGAAAATCCAGACAGGATGCAAGCCCCTGGCCGGGCAGGCTGGACCCCTCTGTGACGTTTCTCCCACATGTGGTCACCCACTCTCCAGAGCAGGACAAGTGTGTGTGACCTTTAGGTGAATCCCACATCTAGGAATCCAACTTAAAGAGGGATTCATGAGGGTTTACCACCTCAGGCCCTATGACAACTTTATTACAACAGTGATAACCATTAAATCAACAAAGTACACCCGGGGCAGCCTGGCTAATCAGGCCCAGTGCAGCCACTCGTCAGAATAGGACATCTCCTAAGACCCGAGCCAGGGAGCTGGCCACAGTGACAGGGAGGACGGGTGACAAGGAGGGGTGCTGAAGCCACACCCACCCTGGGGGCAGCTGGACACATCTGCTGCCTTCTCCCTGGCAGCAGAGCTCCCTACTCCATGGGTTGGTACCACAGCTGAGGCTTCTCATCCAGCCTCGCTGCCCATCAGCGCTGCACAACTTGGTCTGCAGATTGTTTAGAAAAACTCACGTTAATAAGGCAGACACCACCTCCGTTCCTTTGATCACAAGCCTTTGCTTACGGGATTGGAGAATAGTTGGGTTTTTGATGGCAGGTGATGACCATCTCAGCTGCTCTGAATCTCCAGCGAGACACTGAAGACCACCAAGTTCCTGCCAGATGTTGGTCACAAGCTCTTTCTACCCTGGGGGTGGGGTGGGGTTGAGGCACCAGTGACAGCCGCCACCACCTCACTGCCACTCCCTGCCCCAGGAGGCAGGCTGGCAACCCAGGGCTCCCCGGCTGCTCTTCTGCTGCTTGGCAAAGCACTGCGTTATGGCCTGTCAGTCTCCCTCCCCAGCAACCTCAGTAGGGAGGGGTGGGAGGGCCAATCGTATGGAGGTGCAGCACCTCCGAGGAGCTCTGTGGGAGGGGCAAGGGCAGGCGGGTGAGACCTTTGGAGGTGCCCGTCGGGCACAGTTTCCATTGATGGCCCCTGGGCTGTGCAGGAGGTCTGCTGGGAAGGAGGGGATGTCCGGTCATCTGCGGGTCCCAGGTAAGTTTTTTGCTGGGGGAGCAGGTGTTGCAGAATGTGGTCAGCAGAGGAAGGCCAGCAGCAGGCCAAGCCCAAGGCCTGCAGGTGACAGATGTGAGGCAGGAGGAGCCAAGGGCCATGACAACTGACTTCAAAGAAGGGTGGGAGCAGCAGCAGGAGAAGGCACAACAGCACTCCTCATGCAGGAGAACAAGCAGCCAGCGGTGGCCCTACCCTCAGCAATGCAGCAGCCTCCTGCCCTCACCCCAGGGCCCCAATGGCTGTGGCAGAGGTGAGGTCAGGATGGGTCAGGGTCTCCCAGGACGCAGCAGGACCAGAGCAGGCACCCTGTGCTGCTGGTCTGGTCCGCCTGCCTCTGGCCTGGCAGGACGTCACCCTTGTGGGCCACAGGGCCGGGCTCGGGGCTGCCCTGCCACGGCCTTCCCACGCAGCTCTGCTGCTCTCTCCCTTCCACTTTCTTTATTGTTTTTAGGGATAAGATTCTCAACTGCTGAATTTCAAGTTTTCTATTTTTAAAAAAGAATATTTAAAATCAGAATTTCCTCTGGCCATAGCTTCAGCCCATCGCTCACATTCTGACCTTATTCCCATGGCCATCCTGGCCTGTCCTGGAATTTCCTTGTTGACCCAAGGGTTATCCAGAAGTATCTTGTATTAAAATATTTGGA